TTAAAAATTTGTGAGGCAGCAAGAATCAGGAACAAGAACAGCACTTTCATTGTCTGTTTGTGGGACTAATCTGTTCTGTTTGGGTTGACAATTAATGAAGACTTTGCTGGCTCAGCAAACTTGGTTGTTGCAGTCCTTTATTATCTTGCCAGTAGCTGAGCAGGCCAGAATGGCTTCGATCTCTCTGTAATATTTTCACTGCGTTCAGGTGATACAGAAATGTAAAAATTGTACATTTCTCTGAGCAATGGGTATGCTAGTTCATGCATGCGTGTATGGAATTTACATTGCAGTATATTTTGTCTACTCGATTCAGAATGGACGAGGCAGAAATGCTATGTTATAAGTAAAAAAACAAATATACAATTCTGCCAGTGCCATACCAATTAAAGCACCTAAAAATGTCAAAGCAAAATTACGATTTTTGTTTTTGCAATTGTGAACTCATGACAGGTTAGAAAAGATATCTTGTTCACATTCTTTAATGTATTGTCAACAGATTAACAATAAATTAAATCAAACTCGTTAAGTGGAATAATATATAAGAATGATATGCTGTTACTTGCCCAAAATAGAAACTTGTGTAAGAAAATGTGAGATAATCATGTTTCATGTAGTATAGAAATGAATGCTGACAATTTAAAATGATCAATAACATACAAACCTGACAAAGAGAGGAGATAAACAAACTGTATTATCAAATAACTGAAGTTTAATGTATTTTGTTTGTAATATCTCTATGGATTTAATTTTTGGGAGACTGGCAGGATTATGGACATTGCTTGTATTTTGTATGTACACAAGATATCAATTATCCTGTCAAATGTTTATGGATTCATATGGTGTTCATGTAGTGAATGTGTATTCTCATGAATATACTTTTGCAAGTTTGAACTATGATAATCCTTCGTAGTACAACTCATGTGTATCAAAGATAGTAGTAAAATCAAAGCACATAGAAAAGGCCATCATAATGTGAAATGTATGTGATCTTTCTTTTGAAAATGTTCTACGGCTGCAAAAATATAGCACATGGGGTACACAATTATCATAATTTTAAGATTTTGAGTCATGTTATACTTACTTTTTGAATTTGAATTACAACAAAACAACAACATAACACAATGTTACAAATGTATTCAAGTGGGTAACAAAATAACAAAAATATCCATGTACATGAGTTACAAAGAAAATAACAAAAATATCCATGTACATGAGTTACAAAGAAACTCATGTGTATCAAAGATAGTAGTAAAATCAAAGCACATAGAAAAGGCCATCATAATGTGAAATGTATGTGATCTTTCTTTTGAAAATGTTCTACGGCTGCAAAGATATAGCACATGGTGTACACAATTATCATAATTTTAAGATTTTGAGTCATGTTATACTTACTTTTTGAATTTGAATTACAACAACATAACACAATGTTACAAATGCATTCAAGTGGGTAACAAAATAACAAAAATATCCATGTGCATGAGTTACAAAGAAAAAGAAAATATCCATAGTTGAGCTATGTGTACAAATTAAATTAATCATATACCATGTCATATCAAAACCTGTGAATTAGCTATAACTTAATAATACATAGAGATTTGTGACTGGAATTGAAATTCACAGAGTTCCAATAGCGTATAAGTGATTCAAATAAAAGATATTTTAAAACTTAAAAACTTAAAATGTTGTTAAAGGGAGATCCAAAAGTTAGCTCGAGTGCTAGTCGGGATTGGTTCTCCAAGTTTCTAAAACTATGCAAATTCATATTGATATTTATTTTGACTTAATATATTATTTGATCCTCATGATTCATCTCTGCTTAGGAGTTTAATTCTGAGATTTTGACGAAATGATGATCTTGTTTTTCTTCTCTTATATTATATATATATATATATATGAAGTTTATACAGGATGTATTTTACATGGATATTTTAGTTGAAATTTATTTAGATCAGTGTGAAAACAGTGTGTGTATATATGCACAAATTAAATTAATTTGCTCTGACTAATGTCGTATGAAAGACATGATTTACTATTTTTATGAATTATTTAGTCAGTTGTTTTTATCGACTCAGATTCCATTGTTACTCTCTTTGTGAAGAATACTACAAACTTAATATAAAATATAAGTTTTGTGTTATGCGACATAGTGTGATATTAGATATATATTCACTATTTGAGAGTTACAGATGGTCTTTCACGCATGCATAGGATCTGATACCAGAGTAAAAGACTTTAATCTAATTTTACGTGAATGAATTGAAAACAAATTATGTTCAATTGTTGCAGTTCTATATGCAATGTGATGTAAAATATTGATTTAAATTTGATATTGCTGAATATTTTTATATTTGTCTTTTTGTTCATCAAGATGTACTCTTTGAAATTGTATAATTGGGATAATGAAATACAATGCAGCACATGTAAATATGTTAAAAAGCGTAATGAATTTCCCAGCCTCAAAAGTGGACATAATATAACATTATTATAATTGTTACTACAATCGTGTGACACCACAATATTGATACTCATTTGATTTTAGAAAATAGAAGCACAAGTTCTTTGTGGTTTTGCTATAGTAATGTAAATATCTTTAAAAACATTTTAATTCAGATTTTAGTAATGCATTGTGACATGAATTAAATAGTTTGTACTTACATTGTATACTGTATATAAACAGAGAGAGAAAATGATTATAATATAACTTATTTTAATTTATGATTGAATTAATTTATCAGTGGAATTTGATATTTATTAATTATAAACAAGATATAATAACTTATTGAACAGGATATAATAAATTGACATTTCTAATTTGTTCCTTAAAAATGATAGCCTTTGTGTCATTATTCCTGGACCGACAATGAAAATGATTGATTCTTACTGTCTGAACGTACAGTGTTTGATGAATAATTGGAATATTAAAAGCATGCATGAAAGTGGTGGACTGTATAATTAGTGAACGAGAGAGACATTTACGGTTTTATTAAGAAATTTGTTGAACTCTAAACTTATCAGATAGTGCATATTATTATAATTTGGCTGAATCCGTACAAATTGATAAAATAATAAGTCTAGTTTCACAATGGGCAAACAATAGAGCCCAAATATCGCTTTCCTCCCCTTTGTATCGCTATAGCTATAGGCTGCACATAGCACATGACCAAAATAAAATGACAAGATAATGTTACAGAGTGTGAGACCGCCCCCGCCCAACTTCAATTTGTTTGGCTAAATCAACACTGACACATCTCAGTGGTATATCTTTATGTTGAGTTACCTCTTCCCCCCCAAAAAAAATGTAGAGTACGGCCTTTGTGCAAACAAAAAACAAACAGTAAGTAACTGCCACTGCTTATCATCCATTTAACTAGCCCATTTCATTTTTTAAATGAATCTAATGTACAAGATGAAGAAGGAAAAATATTGGCGAAATAAAACAAAACAAATATATTATAAGTGTATCAGCAATAAACTAAATAAAGAAATGAAGCCCTTTTTTTTTTTTTTTTTGCTCAACGGGGGGGGGGGGGGGGGGGGGAGGGGTTATGAGCACTATCTTTTTTTACTCAACATTCCCCCCCCCCCCCCCCCCGCGCCAAGGATCCGCCACTGGATGTGTAAACAGAATTATAACGTCTTTGGGGAAACTAACTGCACAAATTAAAGCTACAGCGAATACGTACAACTCGTAGAGTTACGGCCTTTGTGCATAGAACGCGCATTTTTAGTGCCCGCACAAAAGCCGTTACGCGCATAGCGGCCTTTGTGCAGGAAACGCCCAGCGCGTTCAACTCACTGCACAAAGGGCACTAACACTAAATCGACGATAACTAAAAAAATAGTGCTTGCTTTGCAAAAATAAATTGCCAGTCTAATAGAGAATGGCACAATCCACGTATTCATGTATGATTTTTATCTGTTAAAGAAGACTTGTGAGTTTAAACCTTTTAAAACGCGATATCTCGGAACTAACTTTTGACCCGCGTTGCGCGTTAGCGGCCTTTGTGCGGGCAAGCGACGGAGTAATGCATTCAGGAAAATCTTGAGTTGTGTTCTCAAAAGTATGTTAATAAAACAATGTCATAAGTGACTCATAACCAATGAAAACCCAGACGAACCTTTGGTTGATGTCTTTGTAACATGCACCAACGTGTTATTCCACATAATTTCATTTTTTTACGAAAATTGAAGGGAAATTCAACCCTAACAACAAGATACTCTAAAAGAAAGCAAAATAATCAGTAAAGCAGACTGGTAAAACTTAAAACGAAATCGAACAAAAAATAAGAAAGTTATGTGTTTTTAAAAAGTTGTAATCACTAAACGTATGGGCAATACAAATTGGTAGAATCTGTACTGTCACTTCGACAAAGTGCCTGACAACTTTTTCATTTGTTCCAACACACAAAATGACTAAAATGTCAATTTTTCAAAATCTATGACTTGGGAGTGTTTTTTTATTTTTTTATAGAACCTTTAAATAATATGCTATCCACAATATAATTTTAGTAGTACCCCAGGGGAGAAGGCACTTAAGAAATGGGACAGTTACCAACCACTACGTTACAATCCAGTAACCAAATTGCCAATTTAAGATTTTCATAGCTTTAGTGATCTTATATTTCAAACACTCACACTTTCATATTATTGGTCTGATTTGTTGTAAACTTTCGCCATTCTGTTACTCTTATTCTTCCACTTTCATACAATTGAAATCATTACAAAGGTTGGATTGCCTTTTAATATATTGTTTTCCCTAACGTAAGAGAACATATTTTTCAGACACCCTGGCCATGTATAATAAAGCCTTTTGATTGATTGTAAGGTTAGTATTGAGTGCAAGTCTATGACTCATCTTATATTGATCACACATTTAAGATTAATCATAACTCTATGTAATATGCTGTCATGGTCTTCCTTGAATCCATATTGATACACAACTCTTTATCTTTGTTTCTCTTTCTCTCTCTCCTCCAATCCCTGGCTTCAATCTACAGGAGACTTTGTTCACCCAGGAGGATGTTGACAGACAAAACATCCTGATTCTTCAAGAAACTCTGAGCAAGCTCTTAAAGCAGTCCTCATAAGCACCCTTCACATGACATATGTATTAAAGCATTCAAAACTGAGAAGTATGAGCCCATAGAGGGAAAAGAAAAAAAAGATTTCTGACCGACCGACCAACCCGTGTTTTGGCACCTAAAGGGCAATACAGCATCTTTTTTTTAAAGGCCTTATATTCTGCTTAAAAAAACCAGTCAGACCAACAAGACCACCGACCCAGACTGACTTTTCAGACCAGACAACTATTGACCCTAGCTACCGCCAATACGATGTTCAACAGTAGATGGAGACCTGGCTTCCTCCCACACTGGCTGCGCAGAAATGATACTGGGGAAGATGATAGTACAGCAGTGTCAACTAATTTCTTATTTTACTAAACTATTGTTCAGGTTTCATGAACTCCCCCGATGACTTGATGAGATCTATGTAGACCCATCATAATCTGCTACTTATAGTGTAGTATAGTATCATTGCTATTAAACTTTCCAGTTCTTGACCAATTGTATTTGTATGGAAACCGGAATTGCCTCGCCTGGTGCTTCCTGCTATGGCAAAATACTGTAGTAGCAAGCATTACACAATTCCAGTACCTGAATGGCCAAAAATCAGTTGGTTTGGTGATGTGACTGGGTTATTAAATCAACAATAGTTCTGTGATCAGCAAAATAATTTCCAGATCACACAAATATAAATCAGAAGTTGCTAAGTCCATTGTGTAATTTTATTAGACTAAAATAAGAATTGAATTACAGATATGGTTGTTCAAGGAAAATTACTGATTAGCAAATTTATATAATCACTTATAGAAACCATCATATATGAGCTAGCCATCACATCTTTGTGTTTTTGTCAACTGCTCATTGCATGCTAGGGGACTTTGACCTTGTCTTATAAGTAATAATAACAATAATCCATCTCTAGAGATGCTCAAGGCGCATACAAATAATTTAAATTAATATTCAACATACTTAAGATTAAAGAAATAGTAAATGTTAACTTACATTAGATCACACAACTTCATGGTGCCAAGGTACATACAATGTGGCACAGTGTGATTATTCGTTTTGCATGCATTGTATAAAAAGAACATTGAAATTTAACTATATGCATTGAGCATCAGGTGAGTTTTAAGCCCAGTTTTGAAAGTAGAAAACTAATATTATATAATGGGGCTGGATTCAAATCGTTCACATCTTTATGTCCATCACAACTCTGTAGGCTACTACAGAGAAAGGATGGAGTTTGTTAATTTGCATTCGATTGGAGGATTTTCAATTCTTTACAAGACAGTGCTAATTCTTTTTGTTCTTCAAAACTGAACATAAACATTTGGGAGATTCATCTTCATCATTTAATCATGTTTTCAATTATAACATTGTTATTGACCATACAAATTGATATCTTTAGTACTATTTGTAATACTTTCACCGAATTAGTTTACTTTTGTTGTTTACGATGTTTGTACATATGTATATTTTGTACAGTTATAGTTAATGTCAAGCGTGTCAGCTTGATTTATTTGTATAAGCTTCTGGCATTGATGCTAGTGCTTTAGGAATTTATAGTATAACTAGATGAAAGCTTGTGAAGTCTATGTTTCACTAGCCACTGACTTCAATGGAGTTTTGGGTGGAGTTAAGTCTTTGTGTTTCCTGGAAAGCCCACATTTTTCTGAACATTTTGATATCAAATACTCATTTTGGCAAAATATGGAGTAACGTCTTTGTGTCACTGAACCCTGAACCATGTTTTTTTGTTTTGTTTTTTATATATGTAAAACTGCAAAAGAAAAAGAAAATCAAACAGAAATAAATAAAGAAAATCAAATCAAATTATTTACATATATTAACATTTCTTCATTGTGTATGTAATTTTGTTGAAGCGTTAAGCGATCTGTGTTTGTTGATGCTGATTGATATGCCAAGCTGTAACACCTCGCTATGCAAAAAGAAAGATGATAATTTTCAAACATATTGCAGGGTACATGGGGGGGGGGGGTAAGAAGTTCATTTGTATGAACGCAGAAAAATACAATAAACAGAATTGCAAAAATTTGAAATAAATCAGACCAATAATAAGGAAGTTAAGTCTATACAAATCTCAAATTGGCAGTTTGATAAGTGGATTGTGACATAGTTACATATAACTCTTCACTTTGTCACTTACAAAAATACATGTATCATTAATTTCTGTTTTCTGACCTGACTTGTGGCACTACGCAAAAGATATAGATCTCATAATATTATAGGTCCTCCAAAGAGAAAAGACCCTACTGAGTCATACATTTTTGATGAGTTGAAAATCTATTCATTTTGTGTGTTGGAACAAATGTCCACCACTACATCATTGAGACATCACTGATTCAGCCAATTTGAAAAGCTGATGGGCCTTCCTATAGTGATTACAACTTTCAAAAATTCATCAAGATGGGATTTCCCTTTAATTTTAGGCTTATACATGCTTGGAAGGAATGTACCGTATGTTACACATAACTAAAACTTTCTGTTGGATTCTGTAGTCAGTTTTGAAATGACAGGAATAAAATTTTATTTCATATCCAATTTCATTGATATAAGTGCTAATTGTCAACGGTTTAAAAAATAATACATTAATCAACAAAATTGTGTAACTATATTATGTACATAATACATCTAAAGTGATAAATTACGTTTTTCAGAAATACATTTACAGTGCGTCCCAGAAAAAACGAAACCGAAAATCATCGAGGTTTTATGATAACTTAATCACAATTATAATTAATAAATGACATATTTGTAAAGCTTAGATCCTTCTCTTTCAGCTGATGCAACTCATTATGATGCATATTTCACGCATAAGTGATTAAAAACAATTTGAAGAGAGGGTACCAAAAAGTAAATTTTACGGTGGTATTTGAATTTCAAAAAGAAAATCACATTTCTAGAAAGTTCATTTTCTGCCCGTTCATACGACACCTCAATCGAGAAAAATGAGCCAGGAATAACGGTAGTAAATGACATGTTAACGATGTGTGGTGTCTTGCACTTGACCAACTCTAAAAAGGTTATTGGCGGCAGCCTGCAGGTAGGTAGGTCCATGCTGGCACCAACCCTAATCCGCTAATGGTCAATAAGTGTCATAATAACCCTGGACATTTTTTTTACATGTGTCTACACATGTCGTATATATAATATCACTCTCAATGTTATATACAGAGACAAGTCTGTTTGTAAGGCTGTCTAGATTGAACCCCAATAAAGTAGAGGCATACCTTTCGGCTTTCACATCTCTCTCAACAAGTGTGGCTTGAATGTTGTCGCATGAGTGAGAATGCTACAATTGATATATTATATAATCAGCTTTGTTTATATGACTGTTGCCCCGGTCGAAATAAAATAGTCTAAAACTATATAAAATAATATATGGAAAATAGACCAAGAAAATATATTTTCTCACTATTTCTTCTACCTAAAAATATCAGGAAAATAGTGAAATACTTTTAGAAGACAAACAAATTGTACAAAGATAAATAACACGCTATGACAAGTGCAAAAAATAGCAAGAACATAGTCAAGACATCTAAAAGAAGAAAAAAATAGTTTTAAAAATAGTGCATAAAAAAGAGACACAATTGGGGAAAATAGTGAAAAAATAAAAATAGCTAAAAAATAGCCACCTCGTTGGGGAAAATGAAAAAAAATATACAAAAAATAGTGTAGTTTTTTACTATTTAAAAAAAAAATAGCCAAAAACTACATCAAGAAATTAAGAAATAGCAATAAAATATATGAAAAATAGTGACAAAATATATTTTTCTGCTGGTCAAAATGACTCGGAGGTGTATCTTTTATGCTCATGACAGATCTAGAGTAGTCTCCCTCAATGCTGTGTTACTTTTCTTTGATCACACTTTATTTGTTTTGTATTCATAAACTTTTGTCTCTTAATTCGATAGTTTTGTAACATTCTATTAATAAAATAATATTTGTTCAGTTGAATGGTAAAAGCAATAGACAACATGGAGACTTTCCCTCTATTACAGCCTTCTCGTAGTCGTAGAACCTAATTGTAATGCAATTAGTTAATTCAGTCGTAATCAGTGGCGTACGCAGGATTTTTTCAAGGGGGGGGGGGGTTAACATTTTTAAATCGAGCCGAAAATTTCGCAACGCCTCAGCCAGCCGCTGTTTTTGTCATTGTATATTGATTTTATTTCACAAAACTCCAATTGTATGGTCGAACAGATTTCAATCTCATACAACTAAGCTGCAAAAAATTCAAAAGAGGGCCGCAAGAATAATATTGAACAAGACATATGACACACCGTCGGCTGATTTGTTCACAAGTCTGAAATGGATGACACTAGACAAGCGGTTTGAGTTAAGTCGCGTTATGATGATATATAAATGCGTTCATAACTTAGCACCTTCTTACCTTCAGGTAGGCTTAATCAATCCTAATGATGTGCATGAGCATCATACAAGGCAAATAGACAGTGGATGGAGTGTGCCTAGATTTCACACTGATTGTTATAAGTGTAGCCCAATTGTTTCTTCCATATTTGAATGAAATAAGCTAGATAATTCGTTGAGAACGGCTTCCTCTGTCAATTCATTTAAGAGATTGTTTAAACAAAGTTGTAATTTGTGAATGGCTCAGCCGAACATACACTACGTGCATGTTCAGTCAGTAGAGCGTCCGCCTCACCAGTGGCGGATCCAGGGGGGGAGCCCCCCCCCCCCCCCCTTGAGAAAAAATTATGTAAAATCACGTGATTTTTACCTTTTTTGGGGGTTGGGCCCCCCCCCCCCTGGCGCTCAAGGGGGGGGGGGGGTGCAAATTGAATTTTTTTTGAGGATCAAAAAAAAAAAATGTGCTCACTACCCCCCCCCCCCCCGACATTACTGTTTACTAGGTTAATGATATATGTTTAATTTGAAAACGAGTATTATTTTTGTAGCTGTTCTGTATAAATGTTATAAACGATGTAAATATGTTCATTCAGGGCCCCATGGAAGACCACTACTTGTTGGTTAATGGGCTACCCTGTCAAAAGAATAGCAATAAATAAATAAAATAAATAAATAAAATTCTTTTTCGTACATAACATAGTTTATACAACACTGCAACATAATTATAACAAAGCTTTTTTTAATCATTTGATAAACGAACACCATGAATATACAACCAAGGAGGTGCAGATAGTATCACCTGATTCACAATGCATAAAACTAAAATATATCACAATCACATAATAGGAAGATATTACCGCACTACAGTTATTTCATCTCCAAAACTAGAACAAACATTGCTTTTTTTCTTCAAAAATAGACAAAAAAATTATTTTTATATTTTTCAACATAGTATTATACGTAATAGAAATTTTTCTTTTATTAAAAAACGATCTATCCCATAACCCTCTTCCTTCCTTTTCTCCTCTCTAACTCCCTTAATCTTGCCTGACATGTCACCATAGTGCATCAATTTCAATTATTCTTTAGAACTTTACATTCGATGATAACCAGTTGGGAACAATCAAGTCATTTACAAAATCACACTCTCTCTCGTATATCGAAAAAGAGTGCGTTTTGCACAACCATACAGTTCATTTTGTAACTTTTCACTTTTGACCTTGCCCTTCTGACGTACTGCTCACTCCATGGCTGCAATATCATAACAAATGTGATATTATTTCAAAGAGGAAAAAACACATTTTCTAATGATAATAATCAAAGCGATGATTATGCCATGATAATAGATTTTTAATCTTTTTGTTTTGGTTGTTAATTTCATTTTCTTTTTCTTTTGTTATTTTAAAAGGGGTTTGTTATAATCCAAAATAAGCTTTATATAGTGATATTATAATGAATTAATATGTATTTTTGACACTGGTGTACTGATTAGGGGGAGGGGGGGGGGGTACTTGGGGGCAGCTGCCCCCAAATGAAATTCAAACATGGATTATTTCTAATTCGATACAAGTCATTTACAAATGTTGATGCAATGACATGATTTTCCAGGTTTTTTCTCACATTTTATAAATAATACTTTTTTATGCGTTTGTTGGAAAATGACGAAATTTCCAAATTTATAGTCGGGCAAAAAAAAATGCTCAAGTGCTCCCTCTAACTTCAAATAAGCGACCCTTTTAATTTCGAATAGGTGCCCATTCCACATTCTTATAAGACTGTCTTTTACCAACTCTGATAAGTGCCCCTTTACATCTGATAATTGCACTATTCAAATCTGAGAGCCCCTTTTTAATCTTTGATGAGTGCCGCTTCTCACCTCTAATAATTGCTCCCTTTTATTTTGACACATGCCCCACTTCTTTCTTTCTAATAAGGGCCCTTTTTCCTTCTGATAAATGCACCCTTTTCCTTATTTTTATAGATAGAGCCACCTCCCCTTTTCATGAATGCCCCTACTCACACCTCCGATAAACACCTCTATTGAAATCTCATATCCCTTTTCCTATACGACAAGTGTCAATGTTTTTCCTTTGTAATAAGAGCCCCTTTTCCACTAATCCCCCTATTCATCTCAGATGAGTGCCTCTTTTCAGGTACAATTAAGAAGTACCCCTTACCACCTCTGATAAGTACCCATTCAACTCTTATAATTTCCTTTTTTCATTTCCGGTGAGTGCCTCTTTTCAGGTACAAGAAGTACCCCTTACCACCTCTGATAAGTACCCATTCAACTCTTATAATTTCCTTTTTTCATTTCCGGTGAGTGCCTCTTTTCAGGTACAAGAAGTACCCTTAATTACCACCTCTGATAAGTACCCATTCAACTCTTATAATTTCCTTTTTTCATTTCCGGTGAGTGCCCTTATTCAAATTTGAGAGTGCCGGCCTTTGACTCTGTAATAAATGCCCCTTTTCATCTCTGATATCTGCCCCTGTTCTTTTGACACGTGACCCCTTATTCTACCTAATTAGTGCCATTTTCCTTTAGTGAATGCCCCTTATCAGGTGTGAGAAGTGTCCCATCTTCCTTTTTGATATTTCCCCATTTAACTTTGGCACATGCTCCTTTTCTTTTCTAATACCGGTAGTAAGCGTCAGCTCCCTTTGGATATGTGCCCCTGTTTCCTTTCACCATAAAATGTGCTCATACGGCAATTAACTAAAAGCAATTTTTTCATTAATTTCGGCCAAAGCTTGCTTGCATTTTAAATTGATATAATTTTGTTTCTTATTAAATATCTTTTCAGTCTTTCATGATTAGATTGTGCTTAAATCCCCATCAGAATTGTTTTGTTTTCTTCTCCTTTTATATAAGATGTAGTTTTTCGCACAGCGACTTCGCTCGCTCGCTCGCAAATAAATATATTCAGACCATGACACCAAACTGCAAAGTACGATGCTTAGGCAGTACCTAATTAGACCATCATCCCTAATAAATGTAATCACAATGTCATTGCGTACGCAGGATATTTTCGAGGGGGGGGGGGGGTTAAAATGTGAAAATCGCGCCGAAAATTTCACAACTACTCAGGCAGCAGGTGAATAAGCGGAGGGGGGGGGGGCGGGGATACGAGCACTTTTTTGTCACCCTTTTGCACACCAAACAAAAATTTAAAATATTTTTTTTAAATATTTTTTTTAATTAAAGAAATTTGAGGGGGGGGGGGTTTCCTCCAAAACACACACATAAACAAAATTTGAGGGGGGAATTAAACCCCCCCCCCCCCCCTGCGTACGCGCCTGGTAGGGGTATCAAATATGTCTAACAATTACATATTTTCCATGTTTGAGTTTTCCCTAATTTGTAGGTGCCCCTTTTCTCAGAAAGTCCACCTTTTTACTGGCGCCCCTCCCCCATGCACCCCCACTTTGTAAGACGATCCGTGGCACTGCCCCTAGCTGGATAATGGATGGGTTGTATTATAACTTATCATCTCGATCATTACTCAAAGTTTCAAGTATTGTTATAGTGGGTGTAGATCGATGCAATAGCCTCATGAATAATAATACCAAAAAACAGTACGCCATACATAACACGTAATTTGTAGGCCCACATCTTGACCGTTATCGTCAATATCCTCACCACTGCCCCCCCCCCCTTAAAAAAAGATGCCCATTATGCCACCTGGTTGTGATGCAGATTCGTTCTGCCCTCCCCCCCCCCCCCCCCCCCCCCCAAAAAAAAAAAAAAAAAAAAAAAAAAAACTTCTTTTGCTCATTACGCCACTGATTGGGAGAGGATAGGCCCTAGCTAATTTCAAGTTAGCTTTAAATGAAATTACCGAATTATGTAATGCGACATTGTTGCTGACTATCGACTGTTCTTTCACTTTGAAATAGATAGAGGGAAAACTGGAATGAACAATTTGAAGGAAAATATTGATGACGCTATGATACTTTTTAATATTTTATCAATCGAGTAGAGAGCAGATAGAGAACGAAATAGGCTCCTAATTAAATTGTTATCTTTAAAATTTTCCTGATCCCCTTTTCAAAGATGCACCAGTTTATTGACGACGTCAGCTCAAATTTAATTTCTGGGCATGAAACTTGGAAGACTATTGCGTTTTTTAATCATGCATCCATTGTCAATCAAAATTCAAAGACGAGTTCTTCGAGATGAGAAAACGCACATACGTACGCGTACGGGCTATTTTGGTGACGTCATCACTAAGCGGTGAATTTTAAAATCTCAGTACAATCACGTGCGACGTGAACGTAAGTACGAAGGATTTTGCACTTTAATGTCGAATTAAGAGGTAGTTTTTCGGTGACAACGCAGAACAACGCTAATTACGTAACGGCAACGTTTTATAGCGTAAGTATGTCCTAATACTTATCACATTTTCTTGAAGGTTAGAATATTTAGTGACATTTAATAAGGTTAGCTTAGCTAGTGAGTTCGAGTGATTGTTTGTTTTTGTTTTGAGTTGGGCCATAGCTCGGCCCACACCCTGCCCGAGCGGTGCCCTGATCTAAAAGCACTGCATAGCATGGTAGCAGATCATGGCCGCAGATGCATGCATGCCTGGTCTTGAGCCTCAGGGCCGGGTAAGGCCAGGAACTCTGGACGCATGTCCGCGGGGTTCCGAGATGGATTAAGTCGGGCAGCCATACGTGCCATGTGTTTACTTACTTTGGAGTTTGGTGTCGAGGCTTGAATAGGCACATTCATGGGGCACTAGAGGGCGCTTTGCGCGCATACGAAAATCTGAATGGCCTTGCTGCGCAGGCGCGTAGCCAGGGGGGGGCGGTGGGGGCGGTCGCCCCCCCCAAAACGTCGGCCAAAAAAAAAAAGAGAGAGAAAGAGAAGAAAAAAAAAAGAAAGAGGACGTAGGTCTAGGAAGAAAAAGGGAAAAGGAGTCGAGAACGGTACAATGAATCGTCAAAGCTTCCGCGCTTCGCGCGGGAAGGGGGAAACTGAGTTCAAATTAAGAAATATGAGTCGGGAAAGGTATACAACGAATCGTCTTCTTTCTCTAATAATTTAATGAAACGTCAAAGCTTCACGCGAGAGGGGGGGGGGGGGGAACAGAATTCAGACAAGGATTAAGAGTCGAGAAAGGTACAACGAATCGTCTTCTTTCTCGAATAATTTAATAAAACGTCAAAGCTTCGCGTGAGAGAGGGGAGGGACTGAATACAGATAAGGATTAAGAGTCGAGAGAGGTACAACGAATAGTCTTCTTTCTCTATAATTTAATGAAACGTCAAAGCTTCGCGCGAGAGAGGGGAGGGACTGAATTCAGACAAGGATTATGAGTCGAGAAAGGTACAATGAATCTTCTTTCAAAGGAAACTCCCCCCTCCCTGCACCCACCCCCCTAGGGAGCGCACTTCGCGCGCTCTTTAAGTGATTCGCACGCTTCGCGTGCTCACTACCGCCCCCCCTAAAATGAAATCCTGGCTACGCGCTTGTTGCTGCGGTGGGTCGGCAATAATCAGCCCAAAACTTGGATATGGGAGGGTGGAAGGATATATCTTTTTTATAATGTTATCTGGTCTTACCCTTAACCATCCTATGTTTAATCTATGTAGAAATAACATGCGAGTACGATAAGAGAAACATCGGGCCCATTACTGATGCAACTTTTAAAATATTAGCCTAGAAATGACCACCAAACGGAAAAAATTGACATTTTTTCCAGACAAATCTTCATAAAATCTGATTTATAAACAAGTCACATCTAGGTACACTAATACAAATACGATTTTCTGAAAATTCAGGTATTATTTTTTAAGTTTCTTTCAAGTATATTTCTGCGCATTGCAGCGCCAGTGTTCTTCACTGCTTCAAAATCACCCTTGAAATTTTTTTTTTGCAACGAATTTGTTACGAGGTCCGCGAGTGTTCCCCGTTCCTTGCGTGTTGAAAGTTTGGTAATACATAGTTTGCATTGACTCGCGCACGAAAAAATGGTCGAAAACGAAATGTCAAATGAAGAAATAAACAAGCTTTTGTATAGTTATAAGAGTTCTACCGAGGTTTCTTTGTCGATTTAATTTATTATATAGTCTCAATTAGAATTCAGAATTATCTCACTGAAAAGTTAAGAAACCGACGATGTTCTCGATCGTAGTTATTTTCATTTTGCCAGCAGCCGATCTAGCGTTGTTTGGGCAAAAAGCTAGGCCGCTGCCTTCCCACCTCGAACCTTTCCGAGTCCCGCTAAAATGGCGCTCTGCGGAGCTCCGAAGCTGCGTTGGTATCGCTGCAAACTCTCAGCCGGCCAGCTCCCCACGACGGACCATTCGCGGTATGGCGAGAGTGTGTGTGTGAGGTATGATTTTGGATTCGAGAACGCACGTAATGTAACCGTGCGCGTCATTTTCAGCTGTCGAATGTATACAACCAATTTTACATGTACGATTTTTAGTACAGATACTTGGTCAGTTTTCTTCTTATATCTTTGGTTTTACAACATTTAAAAATATAATTTCTTCATATTTGCTCCTGACTCGGTTCAGACTAATTGTGTGATGTGTTTTCAAGTCAATTTTTTTAATATATTTTTTTGCATGAATTTGCCTAGCTTGAAGCTTCAGCTTATGTGCCCCTCGGCCTCTTTATTGGATTCACGTTGGTAGACTCTAGGCCTATGGGTATTTCAGGCTTCAACGGATATGGATGGTGCTTCAAATGATTTTCAAGTTGACTAAGAATTAGATTTCTAATCTAGACTAGATTCTAGTCTGATTATTTTGAATCATTGTGGGAATGTGGTCTTATACTCTTACCGTCAAATAACTCTAGATCTAGGATCGAGCTTCGACTCCGATGCTGGCGTCGGAGCTCCCCGGAGTTAACTGTCAGATCGAGAATGATTCCTGAAAAAAATATTAAGTGTGCCAGGAGGACAACAGAAGGGGCTCTGTGGCTTTAGCTTTTACTTGTTTACTTGGCTTTAGCCTTTAGGCCTAACTTGTCTTTCTGAATCATTGATTTATTATGTTCACCAATTCATTGTTTAAAAAAAAAAAAAAAAAATCTTAGCCTAGAGTAGTCTATAACTAAGGCAGCTGTACTGCATAGAGCCATAGACTCTATGTGAAACTAATTGTATAAGAATTTAAAATATGGCAAGATTTGAAAATAAAACAAAACTTTCAAGGGAAAAAACCCTGGATATTTGATAGTTTTAGCCGGACTAGACTTTGAAGGTGATAAAGAATGAATTTCCAAATGGATTTCAGCTAACCTGCACTTCTAGTGGTTTCCTGAAACGATGCCTAGGCACATGTCGAGCCTTCAAAACTTTTTGTTCAAATCTTTAACCCAGAATCTCTCAAATGCATTTCTGTGACATCTACAGGTCAACATGTCTGACGAGGATCAATCTCATCTTTCTTCATCATACATCCTATTGGACTGGACAACATGCAGTGCTTCAGATTCATCTGTAGTATGTATAGACACAAGCTTTGACCAGAAGTCCAAATCTCCCGCCAAGTGTTTAATTGAACAAAGGTCTCCAACATCTTGCATCATCATTCCTGATTCAGAGGAGTCAGAGGATGATATAATTCAGATTGTCAGTACTAGTATTCATGAGCAGAAGAAGGAGGGATCAACTAGTGTTGTGACCACGGCATCAAATCAGGATGCCTGTAAATCAGACTGTGATGCTGAGCTTAAAGAACTGAGCCTAGAAGGAGAGGTGACGCTACCCTGTACACCCTCAGAACGCATCAGTAAGCGGAGGAGAATCGGTAGTTATCAACCTGATGACTGTCCATGTCCATGTGAGTTTCAGAACCAAATATTTCCCCCTTGGCCCCTTTCCTCCTGCACCCCAGATAATTATACCACATGCAGTTATGCACTATTACAAAATTAGCTTTATTAGGTTAATTACCACCTAAAAACCTTGAGCCAAAATATTTGTCCTACCTAGCAACAACTTATGTATGTTATTTGAATTCTAACTATTGAGATACATTGTTTCAAACAATAAAATGAAATGAATGAAATAATTTGTATCTCCACATAAATTGGTTACATTACAAAAAATAGCTATTCCACTCTTCTTTTGATGGTGTAAAAGGGCAATGAAATCTCATTCCATACATAACGTGACATGTATTTCAATGGATTGTGTGCAGGTGATGAGCAACTCACCAGCACTCCTCTGGCAGGTTCTGCCATAGCACCTAAGAAGCCTAGTGAGCCTATAGTGACACCTATCACTGTAAGGTATGAAAGGATAAGGGCTGAGCTCAGTGCAACTAAGAAAGAAACAAAGAAACTCATTACAGGACAAGAGGTATGTATGTTCAATCTTTCTTCAACATTTAGCATGCCAGGGGAGTGTTTCACAAAGACTAAGATCGACTTTAAAGGGGAAGTCCACTCCAAGAATAACTTACTTTTAATAGAAGCAGAAAAATCAGACAAACCAATCAAAAAAAGTTTGAGCAAAATCGGATAACTAATAAGAAAGTTACAAATTTTTAATGACATGAAAAACTTTGAAAATCACAAAGCCATGGCAACTCACTCATGAGTCTGTGACATTGCCTCACTATCCACTAATTGTTTTCTTTATATTGATAATATGAATTTCCCATTTTCCCCCTATGAACCTTATTTCTTCACACCAGTATCCAATTTATATTGATAGTAATATGTTGTGTGGGTGCACAAATATAGAGTTGTTTTTTTTCTCTGTTAAATGAAGAAAAATGTGACTTTTGATAAACTATATATATATATATATATATCAATGATTATGAATAAGGTATCATACAATATCCAGAAAATACTATAAGTTCTTCAAAATTCATAAAATATTTTGTGAAATGTCATGCACACAATATCATACAAATCATTTAACCTGGGCAAAGGCATGGGGAAATCAAGTTTTTGGGGGGTAAAAAAAGGGAAATTAATAGGATTAAAATATATTAAGCAATTGATAAATAGTGAGGACATGACGTCACAAACTGATAACCAAATTGGCAATTCGTGTAGTGATTTCCATTGTTCCATACTTTTTCATAACTTTTTCAAAAATTCATAACTTCCATATTAGTTTTCTGACTTTGCTCAAATTTGTTTTGCTCTGTTTCTCTTTTCTTTCTGCGTCTATTATTAAAATGCAAATTATTTTTGGAGTGGACTTAGTCCTTAAGTTGGACTTAACTATGGCTGGCCGTTCATGCCACTTTTTTCTCTCATCATTTACTGGCATTGGTTTCTCAAGGGACATACCAACCGTGGTCACAAATCTACAGAATTTACATTTTTTGATAGTTCATTATTGAAGGATTTTTTTATATCTAAAGATCATAATTGAGAGACCAATGGTGAGAGCAACCAATGGCATGAACGGCCTTGCCATAGTTAAGTCCAACTTGAAGTCAATCTTAGTCTTTGTGAAACACTCCCCAGAACATTATAAAAGGAAATCTCACCCCACTCTAGTTATTCTGATAGATTTTTGTATTCTAGCCCATTAATGTACAGGATTCCCCACTCAAGTGTATGAGACAGGTGTAAAGCAAGAATAATGTACAGTATCTCAGCACGACATGAGCATAGTGATTATCTTGATTGTGTGACGTTACATGCGAAGTCATGTACCAAGTAAATGTATTCTAATTTATGGACGCTTTTTTCCCAGATGCGTGTGGTGATGAAGCATTTCATTCACCTGCTATTATCCTTTGTACTACAGTTGCAAGAAAGCAAATTGCATATATAAGTTGGTGCTATTCTGGAGTGAAAGGTTTCGCATGAATGAAATGCTATATTTGAGTATTTATAAATAAATGAGTTTCAATCGTCCTCCTGTTATATATTTGTCAACAGATATAATATTTACCTTCTCTGCTATGAGTTTCCAACTCTGAAAAGTAAAGGTTTTGTTATTGAATGAAAAAGTCTCTCCAACTAAAGCTTGATGCATGACAAATGTACAAGTTTGCCTGGTATGCACATGATCAAGAAAATGTTTGAAATAGCTGAACTAGAGTCACTATAGGAGAATATCTGCTAAATTCCAGTGTTGTGCATTCAACTTTCTAGTGTCCTAGGTTCACATTGTAGCCATTGTACAGGTCATGGGGTATCTCCCAAGTTACGTTACTATTTTCATCAAAATGGCGACTCCCATGAAATGATGTCTAGGAAGGAGAATACAACATTTTGAGAGAATGCTCTCCATATATGTAATCAAAGCTTGAAGCCTGAATTAAAACATTGGTTGGTAGATGCTATAATACTTCAAGATTTTCTTACAGGAATGTCAGTTTTCAGGCAATGAGTTAATTTCAGACTATAGTTTAAGGCTTTTTTGTGTACAAAATAGCTCTTTCTAGATGATGTTCAGGCCCTGTGATCAATTCTAACTGGCATCCCTGTTCTTAACAGTTTCACATACAATTATCGGCTAATGTTTGTTGGGGTTCATTTCCCTTTGAAAACTATAATTTCAGATTTTAATTCTGGTACAAAAATTTATTATAGGAGCAATTTTAAAGGCAGGTTGTCATATTGTTCATTGTGGTTCATCTATGATGTGATACATTGACATTTACAGGAGCTGCAAGAGGAGATGCAAAGGTTTCGGGAAGAGATGACAAACAAGAGGAAGAGAGAGGAAGAGGAAGAAAAGAAAGCAGCATCTGTCCCTGTTAATGTGAAGACAGACCAGTGTGATAGCATGCTAAGACCTGTAGTCATCGATGGCAGCAATGTAGCAATGAGGTATGGGTTATTCCTCAAATTGGATTCAATGTAGCACTAATGAAGATCATACTTTTGGGCCATAATGCCGTATAATACATAATATAACACATGCCAAGTTTCTTGGCCTCAGATTCGTCAAAACTGTAGGCATGACATTCACTGCTGGCTGCTTGGCAGTATAGTGAAAAAATATTGACTGGGCATAGTTCTACTTGTGATCTCAAGACTGCACTTGGCCCTTTGACTTTGTCTCGGGTTCCAGAACTTCCAGTACAGTTTCAAGATCACATTGGGCAATAGTTTTAACTGTACCCCTCAAAGCAGTCAATATTTGTATAATATATCTCTGGTCTTTACTTTCTCTCCCCCCCCCTCTCTCTATCTCCCTCTCTCTCCCCCTCCTCTCTCTCTCTCCCTCTCTCTCCCCCTCCCTCTCTCCAATCACTCTGTTTGGAACTGTCTCCTATTTTACTGTAGTATTTCCACGGAGGAAAAAGTGTATCCAGGGTTCTTGCTACCAGGACTTGTCTAACAATAGGAAATGATAAGGGTACAATTTTCTCTTTCTCCCTGTCTGTTTGTTTGTCTGTCTCTCTGTCTCCTTGTCTGTCATGCAGCCATGGTAACCAGAAGATCTTCTCCTGCAAGGGTATCGCGCTCTGCATCCAGTTCTTCCAGCAGAGAGGTCACACCAACATCTCTGCCCTGGTTCCCCTGCACCGGAAGACTGCCGATGCAGCCCGGTCCTGCCCCATCAAGGATGCCCACATCCTGGATGAACTGGAGTCCAAAGGTCTCCTCTCATACACCCCATCCAGGACTCTGAATGGACGAAGGCTCACACCCTATGATGACAGGTAGGCTACATTTTAAATATACTTCCTATACCTTAAGAAATGCTCCTCGTATATATCATTTACCAAGAATTAAAACGTGCTTCAAAAAGAAAAGTTTAAGTTATTATGGTGCAAAACTATGGAACGAATTGCCGGTAGAAACTAAATATAAACCAACTTACTATACTTTCAAAAGCAGTTTATAATATTTGTAATATCATGTTTGACTTTTAATAGCAAACAAAAACAATTAGGGCTTGTTTGGATTTCTTGCCTTTTAACCTATTTGTATATATATATATATATATATATATATACATATGTGTGTGTGTATGTTTTATCCTTCTAACCTATTTGTGTATATATATATATATATATATATATATATATATATATATATATATATATGTGTATGTTTTATTGAACTTAGTATGTAAATCATGTTAATCTAAAATGTATGTTTCTTTGTAAAATTGTGATTGCTTTTTATATGCACGGGCAGCACGGCCATGCTGAAGAACAGCCATTTGCTGAAGTATGCCACCGTGCTAAAATAACAGTCACACATTATCTGCTTGGAGCCAGAAGGGCGTTTCACTCGTATACTATAACACAGAGTGAACGCCCTTTTGGATCCAAACAGATGACATGCTCTAACTTTCATTACTGAGAGCTAGTTAATTTGTGGAGTAGGTTACCAATGCCATCAAAGTTCTTAGGAAACTCAATGATTCTATCCTCAAGTTGACAGCCTTCTAGAGTTTGGATTAGACTTAAGAACAGAGGAAATAAAACTCTGATATACATTTCTGTTAAATTTTCTTAATCTTAGTCACAAATGAGTCTGCAAATGACCAAATACTTTGGACTTGCCCAGGCAAGGATAATATGACCTTTGCTCAGAGGTCAATGTGTTAAGGGCAATCAAACCTTTCTGTTATAAATGGCAAATTGGTTAGTAGATTGTAGTCATAGAAAACGTATGTGTATGTCATGTACAAGAATATGATTACTGTCTTTTTTCCTCCCAAGTACCTCTTCCCTTGGAGCACTACTGATAATATATTATGGATAGCATATTGTAATAGGTCCTCAGAAACATCCTCCAGAGTTCTACACTTTAAAAAATTGACATTCTAGTCATTTTGTTTGTTGAAACAAATGGAAAAGTTGTTTGGCATTACGTCACAGTGACATTAAAGATTTAGCCAATTTGAAGTGCCCATAGTATAATGATTACACCTTTAAGAAATTCATAACTTTCTTAGTTTTAGATGCTGCGTAAGCCTACTGTATTTCTTAGTTTTGTCTGTTTTTGTTCATACTTTCACGAGACTGCTTCTCAAATTTTTTCTCCTTTGTTTTAATAGAGTATTTGTTTAAGTTTGGATATAACTTTAACCATAGTCAGACTCATCACTTTAATCCTTGTCTCAAAATGTATGCCAAGTTTGGACACCCCGTCATTTATTTGCAGCGTGGTCCATTTTCAACCCTAGTGAAATACAAACTTCAACTCTAGACCAAAACTCACCTAACCCCATTCTCTAACAACATAAAGCATGGGTAAAATGTCAGATCACTAATTCAATTATCGCAAGCAGCCTTCCATTTCACTTTTCTGTTTTTGTACAAAGAAAACGTTTTCATCATTGTTTCACTCAAAATATCTTATCTTAAAGTGACTTGGTAACATTGCCTCAGATTCTGAAATATAATTCTGGATTTAGCTCATGCTGCAATCATAATTATAAACCTTTAGGTCAGTCAGGAATCCCATGACTTTTACAAGCCGATCGCCTATCTGATTATCAAGAAATTTATGATTAGAAATTGAAATCAAATTTTGCGCTTTCCTAATGGTTTTCATTACAGTACAGTCTATGGGGGAAAAGGAACATGGTAAAACCTGTCACTCAAAATTTTTTACTTTTTTGAGGCACTTCATGATCGTTTTAAAGCGCAATTTTTTTAGGGCTTCAATATTACACCATATCACAGACACCGATAACATGTAGGGCCATGCATCTCAGATTTAACCTTGTTAAACCATCCCTTTAATGGAAATATGCTTCTTATTCTACACATATACCTTTAATGAAAGTGATCTCAAACAACCATCACCAAGCGAAGCGGTCATGTATATTTGAAGAGAGGAGTTCTTTTTATCGAAAGTTCATAATTCCGAAGGATTGTTATACCAAAGGCTTATCACTCTAAATGTTTTGTAGTTCTGAAAATGAAATATGGTTCATAAATCCAAAGGTTTGTGTACAGGTGTTATTTTGAAATTGATACAAAACCCTGTATTACTTTTTCGGATTAGTGACCCTGTAGAATAGCGAACCATATTTCATATGTGGAATTATGAACCATACTTCATTTTTCTTCTCAGAATTATGAACCTTCAGCTAAACACACCTTCTGCATAAGGCAACAAATGTTCAGAATAAAGAACCCCATGGTATGGAAAATTGGCCTTTGTCTTTCAGTATTACAAATCTTTGGAAAAATGAGTGCCTTCCAAATATTTGAAGGGTGGATTTCCCCTTTATCTTAAATATTACGATGCCTTTGGATTTTTACCTTTGTTCGCTTTTTTTGTTGCTATATGATATCCAACAGGATGATGCTCCAGTTAGCGTGCAGGAATGGTGGAGTGATTGTGAGTAACGATAACTACCGGGATCTCATGGGAGAGTCTGCACAATTCAAGTGTGTCATCGAAAACAGGTAATGCATACCTGCCAACCCTTACGAATAATCCAGAATATTCTGTTTTTCTAGATTTTTAGGGTCCCAAAATCTGTAATATTCTGTTTTTTTCAAAATTTCGATTCCCCCCCCCCCCCTTCCTTGTTTTATCAGGTGCCGCGATGTGAGAGTTTCGTATTACGTGCGTTGAAGGGCTGCATGATTGAGCAGCAAATTTGTATTAGCTTTTTTGTACAGATTTAACGCGTATTGCCAGTTAACACTGCCGCTGCATGTGCGAACGCCTGTTAAGGGTACAGATTTCTTATTTTCGAAGGCATACCGTGCTAAAAATTCCTAATTCTCATTTTCAAATGTTGGCAGGTATGGTAATGTCACAGCCATTGATTAGGAGAGTTTGGTCAAACCGGCTCTAGTTGGGCACAATGTGGCAAATACTGCTATGTGGGGCAAGCACAAAATGGAAGAATATGTGGCATGTTGTGACCAAGTAAAACCTAGGTGGCCAAACTTTGTGTATAGATGAATTTGGGTAATTTAGGTCCAATTCTAGTCTACCATCATAAACCCTCTATGAGAAGATTTGGTTCTGATAATGGTGATAATAAATTGGTTGTGAGCATTCCTTCAAATTTTAGTTTCATGTGAAAGAACTTGCATTTGAACTTTTGTGTTGTCTGGTAGGCCTCAAAAAAAAAGTTTCTTTTAAGTTAGATGCTTAAAGTCACAGGATCATTAGTCAATGGACATACATAAATAGGAAGGAATATAAGTGATGCAGTTGCGTTCATCTTGTGTTTTTTTGTTTATTTTAGCTTTGATAAGTACTATTTTTCATTTAGATGTAAATAGTATGTGTATTGTGAAAATTAAAAGATAATTTTCATGCATTTCGTTATACATTTCATTCATTATATCATATTCTGTTCTTTCAGGTTGATCATGTTTACATTTGTTGGAGATAACTTCATGGTACCTGAAGACCCCCATGGCCGCTATGGACCATTGCTGAGTGAAGTTCTCAGAAGGTCAGTAAAAGGATCACACCCCCCTCCCCCCAGCCTTAAAGGACATGGAGGACAAATAAAACTGACAATTAGTTTTATTATGATTTTACAGAGATAATTTAGTGAATTGAATTACAAATCTCTAAGTATGGGTGCTTGAATTTGATTTTGTGTAAATTATGAGCAAAGATTTAAAATGTATCTGCTGATGTCTGTACAATTTATAAACTGTGCAGTAAAAAATTGCTGAAGTTCAGTCCACCATAAGAAGGTTGCAGTTTTTTCTGTAGATTTCATAAGATCTGTCAAGAAGGGAAGTTTGCTGATGCCCTGATGATTATAAATAAATAGTTTTTTTTAAAGGTAAAGACCAGTATTGGAAAAGCCCCAATTTCAAAAAATGAAATGGAAGCTCTTATCACCAATCATGTGAAAGAATATGTTTTGACTAATACATGATAATAAAAAAATTGCCGGGAAACCGCCTACTAATTCATATATTTGGTAAATTTGTTTCTCTCATGGTCTGTGAGAGATATAGGGTAGTCCCATATACATCTTTCTGTGTATAGTGCTTGTAACTTTACGAAGAATGGGCCAAATTTCTTATCAATTTGATGATTCCAGAACCTTGCAGATGCTAGATGCTAGATGATCAACCTTTTCTGATCGATTCCACAATGTTTCTTTCACAATGCAATCGCATGACCATAACTGGTCTTTACCTTTAAGAGATTGAGGGAGATTGTCAAATATAAACCTAACATATATTCAATTTAAGAGTCTCCAAGTTAATTGAAGCCATCATCGATATCCACAATATTCAAATATTGTTATCATTTAAGATAAAAACTTAAGTTCTGATAACAAACAACCTGTAATCACCACTACCATCATTGTATAGGTCCATCACCATCACCCATAATCACCATCCTTCATCACTACCACCGTCTTCCCTATTATCCCCCTCCCCCTCCTACTGTTCCATCGCACATGTGGCAAAGAATGTTAAAGTTCAGTGATTTGATCGTGGTATTGTCTATATGTGCCTTTCTTCCTTAGGGCAGAGAAAGCCCCCCTGCGATCAATGGTCAACAGCGCCCTCTACAACAGAAGGGCACCACTCGAGCAGTTGAAACACCAATGGCAGCATAGATTCTATTAAAAGGATTGGAGTTGCCTCTATCTTGCCATTCTGTAACGGCTCTGTTGTCAAATCAGAGTTGTGACTTTTTACAGAATACCCATACATGCATAGAAGAGTCTAGTTGCTCAATGGCAGCACAAACTCCGATGACATGGACATTGGTGTTATACAGGGGGTTCCAGAAGAAGTACCAAAGAAATGTACAAACAAAAGGTTAATTTGAAGAAACTATGAGCTGTGTAAAATCAAATCTTGCTTTTCCTATAGTACAAGTGATACTAATGTTTTCATTGTTACACCAAAGTCTGGCAGAAATGAAATTTAATACGCTATTTTCAAAACCTGATGAAGCATGTAATCGAAATTACATGTTATATGTGTTCACAGAAAGCATGTTTTTTATTGACAAAATACTGTACGTAGTACGTGCAGTTGATAGCTGGTTTCATGATGTGTTTTTTTTGTCCATGGCTATTATTATATTTAATGAGAAAAAGGATCTTATTATGCATATGTAATACTATATAGATTAGGTTTTTTTTCAGTAGTATAGCAAGAAATTATATTATCATTTGACAGGATGTTACATGTGTGTTCACAGTAGGCATGTTTTTTCTTGACACAATACTCTATGTAGTACGTCCAGTTTGAAAGCTGGTTTCATGAGCAGTTGAATTGGGATGTGTGTGTTTTCCATGAAATTATTATAAAAAGGATCTTATTATGTAATACTTGATTGGTTTTTTTTTCAGTAGTATAGCAAGAAATTATATTATCATTTGACAGGATGTTACATGTGTGTTCACAGTAGGCATGTTTTTTCTTGACACAATACTCTATGTAGTACGTCCAGTTTGAAAGCTGGTTTCATGAGCAGTTGAATTGGGATGTGTGTGTTTTCCATGAAATTATTATAGAAAAGGATCTTATTATGTAATACTTGATTAGTTTTTTTTCAGTAGTATAGCAAGAAATGATATTATCATTTGACAGGATGTTATATATTTGATGTTATGGTTGTTCACAATAAACATGTTTTTATGTGACACAATACTGTATGTGGTTTGAAAGCTGGTTTCATGAGCAGTTGAATTGGGATGTATGTGTTTTCCATGAAATTATTATAAAAAGGATCTTATTATGTAATACTTGATTGGTTTTTTTTTCAGTAGTATAGCAAGAAATTATATTATCATTTGACAGGATATTACATGTGTGTTCATAGAAAGCATGTTTTTATTGACACAGTATTGTATGTAATACGTGCATTTTGATAGCTGGTTTCATGAGCAGTTGAATTGGGATGTTTTTTTTTTTCCATGACTATTATAGAAAAGGATCTTATTATGTAATACTTGATTAGTTTTTTTTCAGTAGTATAGCAAGAAATGATATTATCATTTGACAGGATGTTATATATTTGATGTTATGGTTGTTCACAATAAACATGTTTTTATGTGACACAATACTGTATGTGGTTTGAAAGCTGGTTTCATGGGTAGTTGAATTGGGATTTATTTATTTTCCACAACTATTATTACATTTAATAAAAGAAGCATTCTCTGCATATGTAAAATTCAATGTTTGAATATATTTTTTTCAGGATTATAGCAAGAGATTATCTTTGTTTTGTATCTGCAATTGTTGGGGATTAGATTGAATATTGTGGGTAATTGCAAAATATTTACTCTGTTGTATTAAAGGGTACTGACCGATAGTAAGTTGGTTATAATGAAAGCAGAACATGTGAGAAACAAATAAGTGAAAGAATGAATTCAAATATGATATATGGGGTGATATTTCGAATGCAATGTAAGGTGTATGAATTCTTCCCCCCCCCCCCCCAGTATTTTTCTTTTAAAGTACTGTAACTACTGTATAAGATTATTAATTTTTTTATTCATTTTTTGGGGTTTTTTTTTTTGGGGGGGGGGGGGGGGGGGAGATCCTGATCCATAAGCAAGAAGTTGTAAAACATATTAGTTAATAAGAAGATACAGAATCATATTTTCAGCGGCATATATTTATTATTTCTCAATCGCAACACAAATACCATGTAAGAAAATCAGAAATAAAAAAGGGGAATTATTCTCGTAATAAAAAAATATTTTGTAAATTGATTTTAAAGAGGTCTATTTTACAAAGTAATTTTCAAAATGAAAGTTATACACATAGTTTTTGTGTATATTAAACAAATACAGTAATAACATAAAGGTAGTAAGTAGATACATGTAGACATATACATATTTGGTTAGTGATGACTTTGGTCACAAAATTTGGGTTTATGTCAATGTACTTTAAATGTCTTGGACTTGCAACGAAATGCTGTCATGGTAATAAAATTTGTCTTGATATTTATAGGAATTGAGTGCCTAGCACAGTAGTCATTTTGTTTAAATATTGTAATTACACACAATGATACGAACATGAGATTAATTAACATGATACAAAATATATGAATACTGTACATCCAACCCCTATCTAGCTAGTGCGAACATGATCCAGTTTAAATAGTTTGTTTTCCTCTCTGGCTTATACCTGACATATTCACAAAACCCTACTAAGCTAGCTAGTTGTCAACTAATAACATAGTTAAACAAGTAGACTTAGTAAGCTTTTATGAATAAGCCCCAGATTACTGAATTTATCTGCAATATTCATGCAGTTTACTGTCTCTTTTTTACTGTCATTAGAGCCTTAGAAAATCTGATACAGATTTCAGAGCTGTACATTCAAATCAGGAAGCATAATGAAATCTGGAATCTTCTTTCTACTAAAGCATACATAATGTTGATGACACAGAAGACATGAATAAGTCTTTCCTTATTCTCACAGGTCCAAGAAATAAGTAGGGTTATAACAATTGTAGTTCCTAAACTTTCTTCCAATGAACATAGAATTTTAATGTTTTGAAAACTTGCTGGGGATTTGTAACTACACTGCTGAATGATGAATTATCATGATTAAATTAGGTATAAAAAAAGGCCTGTTTAATCAACATTACAATGATGCTGCATTTGCAATTATTTATTCATGAAATGTGCAGTACACCTGAATATAGAGCCAAGTGAAATGTAAAATGTGTTGTTATTTAACAATGAATTTAAAATCACTTTTGAAGGATGGATTATGTCTTCATGATTGTGAAGCGTGAATTCCATTTGTGCCGTTTTCAACTTGTTTGAAAAATCAATTGTGTTATAGTTTTATACAGCTATAGCTTCCCATTACAATAAATCATTTTTGGCAAATAAGTGAAAGTAAGCACTGCCAAAGTCAACATAATTTAAAACACATGGGGAATTCAATGCATTTTGCAACATTTCACTAGGTCCAATATTAAGATATACACTGTACTACATATTTCATGATCATATAATTTTTACAAATGGGGCATCATTGTAAGTATAAACAAAACAAAAGATACTGAAACTCGAACTTGAACTATTTTGGGTTTACACATATACAAGAGGACCACCTACCCCCCCCCCCCCCAACAGCAATATACGCCTGTTCCCCCTATCAAAGTCGGTCCTGCACAATCGGCTCTCAACATGATCAGACAGCTGGAAAATAATCAAGATTCCTCTTGCCTTGGCTTACAGGAATCTCTTCAAAAGACACATGTAATATAATGCCTGCTTTCTTCTTCTTGTGTTATGTTGCTGTGGAGATGAGATGTTGTCTTTGAGATGCAGGTGAGACATCGGACTGCTCGGTGTCAATACGTGTCTTCAGCTCACCATACACAATAAAGAGTCTTTCAAGCCACAGCCTCGGCTACAGTGTATCAGCAGATAGATGGGTGGTGACCAAGGACTGTTTACATGAGAACGCAATTAATAGAGAGGCATGGTCCATAGCCGTACAATCCACTCCACATGATGATGGCTTCTTGTACAGCGTAGGTATCCATCCGCCTCTGCTGGGCGCTCGTAGTTGAGACCAAACACCACACAGTCAGGCCCACATGTAATATCATTTCCTCTGCACGCAACATGAGGCTATTACTTGGTGAATGACCAAGTCCAAATATACTCTAGAGTCAATCCCATTGAAGATGGCGCATATAATAGGAAAATAAAACAAATCTTCAATGGTTTCAATGCATGTTAGAGCTTAAACGTTGCATCTTTGTGATCACATTTCTTCACTTCATCTCCCCCACTCCAAATATCATTGATATATGTGATGATAACTACATGTATGTGTAGATTACAGTCCCTTGATGCTCTGCAACCTATCCACATGAAAAGGTGGATTCAATCAAGATTTGCATTTTTCCACTGATCGCATCTCGTCTGGCCCGATTACGATCTGCCGGAAGGCCGAGAGCTCCAAGATGGTAATTTAAGTACAGTGCCAATACAGAAATCTGCCATCACTTCATCGCTTTCCAAATTAGATGAGCACTCTGGAGAGTTTAAGTTCAAGGGTTCATGCTCAACAGTTTGTGATGATGATGATGATGATGTTGCTTGAAGACTGCATCTTAGGGTCTCGGAAGTCGACTCTGGCTGTTGCTGGCCGTTTTCTTTAGCCTCCTCTTCTCCACTCGTTGCCTAGGATTTACACAAACAAAAAAGGATGATGAGATGTTGAACTTGTACATCTGATTGTCTCGAACACAGAAACAATTAATAGCCAAGGGACCAAAGAAAACTGTACACATCATCTATTGTTCATATAGGCAATGACTAATGATGTAATATGGATGATTAATGAAATGAAGAAAAACAAAGTCATTTGATAACCGTAAACCAAATATTTGCGATTCTATTTGTATACAAATCGCCGAATTATCTAAATGTTAATAACTTTATCAACAAGATCCATATTTATGATTCAAAATGACTATATAAAAATTATGAATATATATACATGTATGTATCATTTTGTTTGTTTGCATTAAGAGGAGTATTTTTTTGTGGCACATTTGAGAAGGGGATGTATTTCTATGCTGACGGATATTTCTATGCCTGTGGCAAAAAAGACAACACACACATGTAATCCTAAAACGTGCAGGAGTCAAATTTTGAAAATGTGCACACTTTTGTAGCTAAGAAAATGGATATTTGATATTCTGAAAATAGAAGGAAACATAGCAATGACTGTTAAGATCATGAATAAGAAGGGGTATCCATACTCAGGGGTTCATCCAGCATTTTGTACAAAAGAGGTAATATTCCCATTACTAACAAATATATAGGGGTATGTCAAGAAAGGGGGCAACTAGTCATTCAAGTATTTACTGGGGCAATTGTTTTTTTGTGTGTACTAGGTCAGGGGGGTGTTTCACAAAGATCCTAAGTTGAACTTATCTCTAAGTATGGAAAGCCATTAGCATCCTTGAAAAGATTTTGTAAACGTTATTTTAAAAGGCATAAAATATTGATTCAAATCATTCATATTTTCTATTATCACGGGAGATTTCATGTTCTTGATGTGGAATTTATGAAAAGTCTAAAGTACTTGAATTTTTACTTTTGAATATATTTCAAAATAAGGCTACAAATGGCTCTCCATAATAAATGAAAACCAACAAAGAGATATTGCACATGGCAGGGCATAAACAAATTGCACTAGTAGGATTAGTTAAGGAGAGAAAAAAATCAAATACTTTGGTCATGTTAAAAGGCACCAAAGCCTCTTAAAGGATGTATTGGAAGGAAGAGTGGAAGGAAGTAGACCTAGAGGGAGACCCAGAATCAACTGGGAAGAGAATGTCAAGAACTGGAGTGGACTAAAACTGCAAGAGTGCACCAGAATGGCAGAAGATAGAGTGAAATAGAGAGATGTTGCAATCAACCTCCAAACCGGGAGAAGATACTTAGATAGATAGAATATTTAAGTCCAACTTAGAGTTCAGTTTGACTTCAAATCTTTGTGAAACACCCCCCTGGACTACTAGTATCCAGACTGAATGGAGCCAGCATTGTTCTTACTTCCTCTGCTCCTGGAGATGGAAGAGGGCTTCTTGACATTTGTTGAGCTCTGCCGTCTTCAGGCGGCAAGCATCTGAATCAGATCCGCCCCCTGCTGCTGCACTGACGTCAATCTCAGGTCTGTCCATGGTGTTAACCACTGCTGTCAGCTCCTGTGTGCGCTCCCTCAACATCTGGATGGATGCGTAGAGGTCGCTGTCATCGCACTCCTGTGGGTGAGAGGTCAAGGGTCAATGGGTCTCATTAGGTTTAATACCTCTCAACACAATAGGGTAATATGCTGGTCCCATCTCTGTGATCTATCATTTTTAGCACTCATACAAAAAGGTAATTTTTAACATTTTGTCACTAAGAACCAATTTATTATCCTAATAAAGACTTTTTGCACAAGGGATGTCCATGCATTTCTTATGAATGTTTTTTTCGCTCATGAAAATGCAACAGTATGAACAACAAAATTTCATCATCACATCAGTAATACGTAAAAGTTGATAAGATTGTTGTACATAAAAAAAGCATATTCATTTAAAAAAAAAAATTCAACCTCAGTTATGTATCGAAACTCAAGATTGAGGAATTTTTAAAATTCAATGTAAATATAATATCTATAACTAAACAGATTTAAAGACGTATATGGCGATTCACTAGTGTGATACCTCGGTCACCCCCCCCCCCCCCAACAAACTCCACACCGACTACAAACTGGTAATTTCTAGTTTGGTTTGTTGTGAGTCTGGTGTGAGTGTCAGTGTGAGTCTCGGTGTAAGTCTGGTGTGAGTCTGGGTGGGAATCTTAATGTAAGTCTGGTGTGAGTCTCGGTGTGAGTCTGGTGTGAGTCTGGGTGGGAGTCTCGGTGTGAGTCTCGGTGTGAGTACCTACCCCAATGACTCTCCTCTCCACATGAACCAAGAGAGTGGCTAGCTCCAGCTCTTCAGAGTTACCATTCTTCAGCTGAACAGAGCGATATCCTAAGCAACAACAAAAAACACCACCAAATGAATCTTCCATCTTGCTATCTTTGTTCCATTTCTTGTGAAAATGTTCTCACTTTGTTACATGCATGTCAAATAGATGGAATAAAGGTTAAAGTGCTCTGGTTGCTACGGGGGGAAAAGGGTATGCTGCTGAATCCATAGAGAGAGAAAAAATGCATTATAAACTGATTTATGGTGTCAGCAAATGTGACAACAAGCTCTACACCCAACCACATCATGATAAACATTATAAACAGTATTTCCTCACACCTAAACAGGGTTTTTAAGAGTTCCATAAAACATCATCCCTTGGATGTTCATGTAGGTCTCAAGTATTATAGAGCCACATTTTCATTTTTTTTGTAAAGGGTATGTGGATAACTATTTAAGACGTTTAGAAATACAACATTTGCCTAAACGTATTGTACCTAGAGGCATTCAAGATATACGTAAAGAAGAAGTGATCTCTTTTTAAAGTTGTCATATCAACAAGTTTCCAGTTGTTGATATTTTGCAAGTAGCATCCTAGTAGCTTACCTGTTCTGATAGCTTTGAGAGGGTAGGTTGCCTGGCCCAGAAAGTTTGGTTCACCAAAGACATCTTCATCCTGGATGACAAACCTTAGCATAGCCAGATCTGGGTTGGTCACATCAAACTCACACACCTCATTGAAGACTGGGTTGAAACCATTATCCGCTGGAAAAGAACAAACAGTCAAATTCAAATACCCCCATCATAACTAATCCGTTTGTAATAAACATGACCATATTTTTTGCCCAGATGGAAGGGGTTATTTCATTATTTTGCAAAAAAACTGAAAATTGTCATATGTGTCCATTTACTCACTATGAATGTGCCCACATGCCATACGGTTCATTGTGAACCAACCCTATATGTACCCTAAAGGGGCATTTGGGCAAATTTCAGAAAATTTGGAGAAATCATGAATGTTTGGCCATAGACATAAGTCTAAAAGGGATATGACATTACCTTTGGTGCTGGTCTTGTATTTGTTCCCACTGTCGTAGTCTGATCCAAGAATCTCCACCTCAACAAATGGACTGGCTATACCACGTCCTGTCTTCTGTAGATGACGAGCTGCTATGATCTTTACAAAAATTGGGGGGGGGGGAACAAAAATTGTGTTTTGAGGCTTATTTCATATGAAAAAGACATTTGATTATGGTAAATAGTCTGTCTTCTCTTCAACGTCGATGTCGAGCTTCTCTGATCCACAAAACAAACAATATTTTTCAGTCTAATTATGATTATACTTCAAGGTATACTAGCTGGATCTTTGTGTTGCCAATTTAAAGACTTTAACAAAAATGAACATTGTATTTGACCAACCCCATTCTTAAAGGCATCGTTTAACAATGTTAATTCTGAGATGCATGGTCCTATGTGTTATCAGTGTCTGTGATATGGTGTAATATTGAAACCCTAAAAAAAATGCGCTTCAAAGCGATCATGAAGTGCCTCAAAAAAGTAAAAATCTATGAGTGACCGGTTTTACCATACTCATTTTCCCCAATAACCTGTAGTGTTATAAAAAACGTTAGGAAAACAAATTTTTAAATTTCGATTTTCAATCATAAATATCTTCAAGTTGATAATCATATAGGCGATCGGCTTGTCAAAGTCATGGGGTTCCCGACTGTCCTTAAGGTTTATAATTATCATTGCAGCATGAGCTAAATCCAGGATTTTGTTTCAGAATCTGAGACAAATGAAATGGACTGTAGGTGATTTTAAGTCCATATGCCAGGTAATTTTAGATGCAAGACAATTAACCGGGCTGGCATAGGATCAACTTTGACATACATTTGTTTGTCAACGTAATCAAAGTTCAAATATGCACACTGCTTTCATTACACAGAGACATTTTCAGCTACATGTTGCCAATTTGAAGATTCTCATTACTTTAAAAATTAAAAGAGAAGCTAAGGAAGACACTTACTGTGATGGTCAGATGGATGGGATCAACATCGACTAGCGTTCGTTTGTCGAAGGAATCAAAGTTCTTGTCAAACATGCACTCAGGTTTGAGTACATAGCCACACCTGCCGTTGAGTTGAAACATGCCCTCATTCACCTGCATGTGACGATCTGGTTACCAAGAAAAGAAAATTGGACAAAATGGAATTATCCATCAGTCACGATATTATATTGGAACCTCATTATAAATAAACCTTCAGATTAATGATATGGCCATGATACAAGGAAACTTGTTCTATCTGGGCAAAACATCAACAGAAGACAAGAAACCAGCAACATTACCTGTTTATTACAAGTTTTATATGTTTATAACAGTATTCTTATATATGTTCAGTCACAAAGTAACAAAGACTACTTGATCAATACATCATGTGCCAATCAAAATATATGGTTTAAAAAATATTTAACAAATAATAACCCCATTCTACAATTTGATTTAGAGTCTCAAGATCTCAAGATCCTGTGATCAAACATTATTTGATAAAAAACAAAAAATAAAACAAGGAGGGAGGAAATAAGCATGAAAAATAATGCAAAAGAGAAAAGACAGAAACAAAACAACAACCAGGGGGGGGGGGGGGGGGCGTTTCACAAAACTTGTCATCAGTGACAAATGACAATCTTTGTTATAAGCTACTGAAATCCTTGCTTCTGATTGGTTATCAGCAGATTTGTCACTGATTGGTGTCATTTTTCATTGGAAAAGGGCTTTGTGAAATGGGTCCCAGGACCATCATACCTGGTGTCTGGTAGTTGAGGGAAACCATCTGACAGCCGCAAAACCAGATTGGGATGGGGTCATAGTTGGACGAGTCAATACGTTGACCTTTGGGGTACGTCCTGCTGACCTGTTTCCTGTTGTAGTCCAGGAGGACCTTTGATTTGCCGGCGCACATGTAACGCTCTACTTTGGTTTCAGGAAAGGACGACATCTCAAAGTATTTGCCTGGAATTCCTGGGTATCAAAGAAGGAGAGCAACATAGAAAGTTTAGAAGGGTCAATGCTACGAAATGCATCTAAGATTTGCATAATATCATTCTGCTCTGCTTTGTTTTGCAAGTATTTCATAAAAAAATAAGTATTTAGATAAACTCATGTAGTATCTAAAATGAGAGTATTAGCAGATCTCTGAAAGTGGGATTTAATTTTTTAAGTATTAAATTGAAGGAAGAGAGAGTGAGAGAGAAAGACAGAGACAGTGAGAGAGACAGAGAGAGAGAGAGAGATAGCATTAGAGAGAGACAGGCAGAGACACCTAAAGAGGGAATAGAGACTGTTAATTAATCTGGAGAGAAAAAGAGATGGGGGAATTATGTAATTGATAGAAGGAAAAGTGAAAGAGAGAGATAAATAAAATAATGCATTCAAAAAAGGATAAAGAGAGGTGATCACTAAAAATATGGACATGTGGTCAAATGAGAGGACAGAGAGGGGTCATAACAAGAAAGAGAAAGAGAGGAGGAGAGGAGGAGACAGACAGAGAGACAGAGAGAGAGGAGGAGAAAGAAAGAGACATTTGCTTACTCTCTTCTGAGAAAGGAACTGATCTGCAGTAGACGATGAGCCTGGAGAATTCCCTTGCGATGCGAAGCCTACGCTCATGAATTGCGCTTTCTTTGCTCTGTGGGAAGAAATTAAGAAATACATATTGAAAATACTGTTTAAAAAAAATCACCACTTTCAAGGTGTCCGTTTTTCTTAAATGATTGGTATGCTGTTCCTAATGTGAAACACTACTCTGAAACATTTGAAAAACCTTTTGTGGTTTGGGGTATTTTTTCCATAAATCGATCTGATTACACAAGGTGGTTCGCAAACAAAAACTAAACATGTTAAGTGTTAACTTTGAAGAAGAATTTGTGGTTATAAAAGTCCAAAGCCCAAAGTCAGTCGCTGCTGGGGTCTGAGCCATATTTTGGATCATTTCAAACAAATTTTATAACTAAGATTTTATAATTGATTATGGTTGAGAATGAATTTTAAATTGTCTCCGATTTCAAACATTGTATCTTCAAAATCAAAACCTGTTGCTGTATCATGTTAGAAGCAGCCCTTCAGTCTGGACCTCCCTACTCACCCTAACTTTTGCTTGGACTGAAGCTTCCTGTATGCACTTCATCCAATTCTCTAGCTCTCCTAGATCGCTGGCTGCTACATCCATGGCATTGCGCTGCCCCGGTGAGATTATTCTAAAGACGAAATGCTGTCTTGATCTCACTCCGAGCATCATTTCTGACAGGACGACAATAACAACAAGATGAATAATATCATGCCTCCGCCTAAATGTATATTCATTGATCAATTACCCTGTGATCTTTAACATCAGACTTCAAGGACCCAACTGCTTTTCATTTCATTATTTTAGTGCTTTTACATACTTGATCTTAATTTGGTCCAAATCGATTGAATTTTTTTGTCAAATTAATTAGTTTTTTAGTAAGATATTATCTTTGATTTTTGTTCACCTTTGAACTCTAACACTCAAAATCTCAGACAAATTTCGTCCAAGTTTGGCTTAAATTGCTTCCATGCTTTTAAACTTATCACAGTAACGAGACATTACTAGTTCATACATTTTATGAATTTTAAATACTTTTATGGTCCTGTGACATTTGACCTTTGACATCATCATCATGTGCACCATCACCATTATCATCACCACCACAAACATCATCATCATTACTTGCACAATGACCACCATCCCCATTGTCACTATTATTATCATCATAATCACCACAATCATCATCTTCTGAACCATTATCAGCGGCACCATGATGAACAATATCTTCACTACCGCCACAATAATGAATACCACCACCATAATTATCATCTTAATCCTCAACTTCATCCTAACTATCATCATCACCATTCTCATGATGAAGATAACCATCACCTTCACTATGATGATCATGAGAGCAACCACAATCACTATCATCACAATCCACTTCAGCCTCTCCTTCATCACATTCATCTATTAGTCCTGTATCAAACAATCCTTATAAAGGCATTGTTAAACAATGTTAAATCTGAGATGCATGGCCCTACATGTTATCAGTGTCTGTCATATGATGTAACATTGAAGCCTCAAAAAAATTGCACTTCAAAATGATCATGAAGTGCCTCAAAAAAGTAAATATCTTTGAGTGACCAGTTTCACCATACTCATTTTCCCCAATAACCTGTAGTGTTATAAAAACCGTTAGGATAACAAATTTTTAAATTTCGATTTCCAACCATACATACATGTATCTTGTTAATCAGACAAGCGAACGGCTTGTAAGAGTCATGGGGTTCCTGACTGACCTAAAGGTAGGGTGTCTGATCGCGCACCCAATGTTGTGTGCTAAAACCCTTCCCATAGAGATTGTACGCTTCCCTATGTGGTCTACGTGCATTGCGCGACCATCCAAAATTGGTCAATGATTTTATGAAAAAATTTGAAATTCAAACCTTTATAACAAATGATCCTGAAGGTGAAACTCAATAAATGAGGTGTCATATGAAAGAGCAGGTTTTTCTCCATATTCCCCATCGGGGCCACCCCCAGAATTCTAAAAATATCTTGGTCAAAACAGCGATTGAAATGTTGTTTGCATCCTAGCTCCAAAATTTGCCACTTTCCTGAGCTGCCGCCCCGCGGCTTAAGCAGGGCTAGACGTAAGGATAATATCCAGATGCTTTTTTTTTTCGCTAGCCCCAAGGGATCATTTGTTATAACAGTTTGAAAATACCCTTCCCACATTTTTGGAATCAGCTAATTAGGGAGGCGTGAGCTCCGCTCAGTCCAAACCATGGTTACATCGCGTAACATGTGCGCTTATAGTGAATGAAAGTATGGGTGGCCGTTCCCGCCATAGAACCCGGAAGTGAATACACGTTATAGTCAATGGCAATATCGCGGAGACATCTCCGCGATATTGCCTTTGACTATAACGTGCATTCACTTCCGGGTTTTTTGTGCGACGAACGCCAACCATACTAGTCAATGGCACATGTCGCGGAGACAGCGTAGCTCAAGCTGCAAGTCGCGGATTGGCTTAGCAGCATGCGTACGATATGCATACACTTGCATATCGCGCGATACAGCTGTTTGGCTAAATTTAGCAAAACAACATCACTCTGCGTGGACGTCTTTTTCGTCGATTTTGACCAAAATGATATGAATATACCAGCGTTTTGGAGGGGCTGTTACTTTTGATAGAAACATCGGTGAGACTTGAAATTTGAAATGTATTATTCTGATATCATTTTTTATTCAAATATCAAACAAAAATGGTGAAAAACGATCCCAAATTGAAAATTGAAAAATCGTTCAGACACCCTACTAAAGGTTTATAATTATCATTGCAGTATAAGCTAAATCCAGGATTTTGTTTCAGAATCTGAGGCAAAGTTACCTAATCCCTTTAAATCAATCTTCACTTACCAACACTGCATCCAGTGATATCAACAGCACCTTTCTGCAGGTTCCCTAGCAGGGTCGCATTCTGTCCCTGATCGTTGTTTGCAGGGGTCGTGACCTCCTCAACATAATTTGAAGGAAACCACATGTTCTTCTTCCCCCCATAGTCTCCTTTCCACCTGTAAATAGTCATAATGGGCAGCAAAATAGGTGATTATCTGCATTTTCAATACAAAGATCTATCTTTTCCTTGCGAGAAACAGAATCCACAATCCTTACTCTACATCCAGAAATTGTACCTTAATACTCTCCCTTATAATAATATATTCTGCTTTTATATAGCGCTTAATACATCGATGATGTCTCTAAGCGCTTTACAGATATATTATTACCCCAGTTATTTCATTGCAAAAGTGGGTATATAGGAGAATAGGATTTAAAAAAAAACATCTTGAATACATCCAAAAAGAAACAAATATAAAGTAAATCTGCATGATACATTAACAATATTGCCACATTAGACTTTAGAAACCCTTGTTTTATCATTTTATATTATTATTAAACCACCACTGTATTTCCCTCTTATGGAATAATAGAAGAGTATGTATATGAGTCTCACCATCCATGGTCTTGCTTATCTACATTGGTAATGATAGCATGCTTGCAGAAGGACAGTTCATCCTCTCGCTGGGCCTTGTAGTCGTATAATGCTTTCACAGTCACCTGCAGTAGACAGGTCATTCATTAAATCAAGAACAATAAGAAACAAGAGGGGGTGATCAGAAATGGGGAGGCTTTGAGGGTAATTTGAAGGATGTGTATCTATCACTAGGAGAAACTTTAAAGCCTGTCGGCATTAGTTTGGCAATGAGGGATTAGACCTCCCTGCATGGTCACTGACAGGTGGTTATCTCATCAAATCAGCTCTCAATTAACATAAGAAAAAGGGGACCATGGGGGACCAATGGTCACTGATTAGGCATTGTTTGCTGTATGGAGGGCGCAAGTAGCTATAAGTAGTGCAGTGGGGCTTTAAGAAAGTAAAGTCACAACCTATTTGTGTTTATTGTGGATGTATAGCACCTTCTACCAGGCTTGAGAACTGTGAGGATTGTTGGAGGGATCATTTGCTCTTGCTACAAGACACTCCTTAAATGGAAAGGCAAAACTAAATATAGTAAAGAAATTAGACAAATGGACGTTGTTTAAAAATATTGTCAGAACTCTACTAACAACTTTAATCATAAGAAATTACACGTAATACAAAAATAAATGCAAAGTTAGGTCATGACTTAAAGATGAAGTTGAGTTCTGGTCATGCGATTGGATTGTGAAAGAAACGGTGTGGAATCGACCAGAAAAGGTTGATCATCTAGCATATAAGAATTTGTGTGTATTGCAAGGTTCTGGAATCATCAAAATGATAAGAAATTTGGCCAAGTCTTAGTAAAGTTACAAACACTGTACACAGAAAGATGTATATGGGACAACACGAACATGTGCCGTAAAAATCCTACCCCCGAGTTTTACGATGTTACATGACATATTTAGAATATGAAGGCATTTGAAGAGCCATGCTTTTCAGGAAACATGTCTTATCTGATGTTCTTCCACACTTGCATAATAAGAATGATAGAATGATAACGCTCACAAATTAATTTTCACCTCTTCCCAGAACTCAACCTTCTCTTTAATACCTCACTGAAACCTGTGGTTGAATTTGCTACATGGCTACACGTTTCACTCGCAACCCAATCCGAAAAAATTTGCACAGACAACAAATTTGCATATATATTCATAGCATTCCCCCCCCAAAAAAAATAAAAAATAAAAATAAAAAATCCAAAGTCCAAAAAAAATAATCAAAAATCAAATAAAAATCAAAACTCATAAAAGAAAAGCAACTTTCACAAAATTCAACCGGCTTGTAGTACAATAATATTATAATGCAGTTCTTCATCTGACAATATTTAGAAAGTGGTTAGATACCTTTGGTACAAACTGGTTGGGATCCATGTAGATTCCTCCACTGCCGTAGATAGGATCATCTTCTGGATCCAAATCCTGAGAAAGGAGAGATTCAAAGCAGACAACAACAACAAAAGGACAATTAGAACTCGCTGACCATGATGCAGACGGTGAATTCATTATGTGTATAATTTGAGGTCACTGGCGTCGTAGTAAAGAAATTAATATTTGCAACCATTAAGAACTTGAAAGAAGAAGGTGGGCATATCCTTGCAATAGGGACTTTTAGATTCGCACGAAGACAATGTGGATTGCTACGATCGACGTCCTTTTAATACACTGCCTTGAATGGACGTCACACGTATCAGTCCACGCAAATCTAAAAGTCCCTAATGAGAATGGATGTACAACACTCATTCATACTGCACAAGCGATGTGTATATATTTGGTATGAAATATGACATTTATCCATATATTTCATCCATATATTTCATCAAGAAATTAAATCTCTTGATGTGACCATTAACTAATGGTTCTTCCAAAAATTCATTAATTTGATGAGATATATGAGACAAATGGGAAGAATCTTATGTTGACAGTCCCATACAACGTTAGATGAAGTTGCTATCAAAGGTACAGCTTTAGTTACATTCTTTTGCATAAAATAAAAATGATAACATAACATATAGCTGGACCAGTATATGCTTGATACATATGCTCTTAATGTCTGAAAAGTTTTCATACAAGCTTGCATGACCTTGCAAACACCAATCATTATATCTTTACATATCAGCAACAAAATTTATACTAGAAAGATCATGGCTTAAAATTGAATGTCACTAGAAGGTGACATTAAACCGCTTTGGGGATAAAGGGGACCGCACAGACAGATATCTGAGTAAATTCCAAACATTTTGGATACATTGTTCTAACTACTAAATAATAAGGAGTAATTCCAAGGTATTTTTCAACAAGCACACAATTTTGGAATAGATAATTAGCTAATATTTCTAATTATTATTTATTTTCCATTTTCCATTTATTTATTCATTTATTTATTTAGATTCATTTATTTATATCTATTTATTATTATTATTTATTTTTTTTTAATCTTTTTTTTTTTTTTTTTTGGGGGGGGGGGGGGGATTCACTTTGAACTTACCCCTCCTACTCTATCTACCACCTCTTGGTTGACGGGAGCCTTTAACTTCATCTTCCTATAGAGGGGGTACTTGTGATAATAGCTGCAGAGCTCCGCCAGGCTCTCAAACTGGGCGCTGCCGATCGTAAAGAGTCGACCTTCCTGCTTGATACGACAATGCTTGATCTTGCCATCAGCTCTGAGGGTTAAAGGTCAAAGAAGATAAGGTTAGGGTACAAATACTGAGGATGGAATTTAATACAATTTTATTTAACCCACAGCAAGTAAGAGTACAGTATTTTTCTAAATTAATGAGTTTTTCCAGCTAAAATTGGCAATTTTCCACTCCATCTTAATTTGAAAAATAAAAGTGTTCATTACCTGAACCAGATTGAAATAAAATTGCAGAGTTCAGCCAAAAAATTGCCAATTAGGATGCAAAAATAGTGATTTTATATTTGACAGTGTGTTGCTAATTTAGAGACTATGATGAATAGCTACAAATAATTTTTCGGTATCATTTCTATACAACCCTCTCAAATTAAATTTCTTCTATCTTATCCTTCATTTTCAATTCTCTTTCTACCGGGTATTCATACTTTCATCTTTCTACGAAGAGGAATATTACACTTTTAGAGGCAACAGACACATAAAAGAAATCCCAATTGTTACCTGAATGAGATGGCGAAGGCATCACTTTCTCTCTCGCTCTTCCTGACGAGGAAAGCACCATCCTGACGGACTCTCTTCAACATGTCCTCCGCCTCGTGTCTGCTCAGTTGACTATGGAACCATCTGTTACCATTCAAACATGTAATCATATGTTAGTTCACCGTTCAGTTAAAAAATGCAAGGGAATCTCAGCCCAAAGAAATAATTTTAGTTATTCTGAGAGATTTAATCTATTATTGTCCATTAATCTACAAGATTTACCACCAAAGTGTATGAGAGAAGTATACAGGGATGCCAGTTAGAATTGATCAGAGGGCCTGAAAATCACCTAGAATGAGCTAGTTTGTACACAAGCCTAAACTATGGTATGAAAATAACTCGCCAAGGCCTGAATTCAGGCTATTGCCTGAAAACTGGCATCCCTGAGTATAAAGCAATATATACTTGGCATAATGTATAGTATCTCAGCACAACATCACCATTTTCTGGATTATGTGACGTACTATGCAAAGTTGTTTATCAAGTAAATGTATTCAAATTTATGAACGTTTCCTTCCCACATGTGTGGTGATGAAGTATTTCTTTCACCTGCTATTATTTTTTGCACTACAATTTTCAAAGTTGTTGCTCTTCTGGTGTGAAGGTTTCACTTTATTGAAATAGATTTGTCAACTGCTACATTTGAGTATTTTCAAATAAATGAGTTACAATCGTTCCCGTTATTTTTATTTTTATATTTTTACCTTCCCGGCTATGATTTTCCCCCATTGATAAGTGAAATCCTTTTATACATACCGGTATATATTTACCAAATAATGGATTTACTTTTGTAAAATGACTGAAAACATAACATTATTTGCAGATAGAAAATTTCTATTGCAAAAAAAATCCAGTTGCTTTTCTAGACTCCTACCCCATATCCCAACATGTAAATATTCATATACTTATAACTAAATAATACATTAGCAGTAGGTATTCAGTGTTTTTCATAAGTTTTCAATTTTGATTAGAAACTGTAATATACATTTCAAGATATACAAATCCACAAGCATGCAATACAGTGATACTAAGGTACTCTAACATGGCACACATATATTATCATGCACATGCTACAATCATGCAATGTTACAAGCAGGCAAATTAATTCATACACCACCTTGTCAACAATATACACCTTGGTTCTGCCTGTGACATTTACAAGTGCTTTAAAGGATCAAGAGTGAACTAAATTTCAAATGCACTTCCAAATATTCATGACTTGTCAATAAATAGGAAAGAATTAGAAAGAATTAGAAAATGATTATATGTTCGATTAAATGTTCGAAATAAGAGAGTTAGGAGATGAGCGAATGTTAGTGTAGGGCTGGATATTGTACTCCAAGTTAACCTTTGATTTCCTAAAAGTTTTAAGTTCAATGGTTACTTTAATTAGCCTCTTTAATTTCTTTAGACTCTGTGTCCATATTCACCACCAAGTATGTTCTTCTTTTCATGTTCACATGCCCCACATGCCACAGGCACTTACTTCCTGTGTTCACTCTAACATCCTTTTACATGAAACCCCTCCCCCTCCTCTTCTGTCACCTGACCACTCTTCCGCCATAACAGTTCACATGACACTCTCTCTTTTGGTTGGCCCACTTTCTTTGAATATTTAGTCACATGACGGACTTCCTTTTGAATACTGATGAGGATTTTATTGTTATATACTAGTTGTTAAGTTGATACATATGCATGCATGTTGGAAAGAGCAGAGAATAAACTTTGAGATTCTGAGCAGAAGGGTATTCTGAACCAAAGCTACCAAACAGTAAACATTGCCTTGTCGCTTCCTCCTTTCTGTTGTGGAAAAGAACCCATGTGGGCTCACACAAAACTGAGCCCCACATCCCATATTAGTATCAGATGAATGTAATGTGGTGGTACATGTTAGACAAATTGATCTCAAGAAGAAAATTGACTAGATAAAGTGTTTTTATACAAGCAATCTTTTCAAAATGTTTTTAACTACGATGGAAACTGTAATTACTTTGTCATCTTTTCTCAAATCCAATGAATAATCCATCAATGAAAAATAGCACCCCTGCCAGGGCACAAATTGTGTATTTTACCCTAAGGGAACTGTAAGATGTATCAAAAGAACTAAAGAAAGAGTGAAAAGTGAAAGTAAGTGAGTATTAATAAAAGTGCAGTATAGTGAGTATTAATAAAAGGCAATGGTTAGGAAAGAGAAGTTGGTCTTAAAAGTACATGTATTAAAACAACCTCAATTAAAGGTAATACAAAGTTTGGGGAATTTTTGAAAATTGGGTGGATAGTGATTCTTTACAATTTTGATATATTTGAATGCCCCTGTGGATGTATTATAAGCACTACAAAATTTAGCCCCTAAAACACTTCTGCTTTCGAGGAAAATTGAATGTAAAAATTGAATGGTGCTCCAGGTAAATTTTGATGAATTTCAAATAGCGCCTACGGCCGTACAGTGGTAGCTGCGACCATGGAAATCTCAGAGTATGTAGTTGTGATATATAATTTCCAAACGAGAATAGCTAATCGGTCGATTTTAGTCAAACAACATTTAAAATTTATTATTTACAATGTCATAACTTTAGACTCGAATTCAACCGCAACAACAATCACTGAATATTGTAGGATCGCATATGCTTCCAATATATTCATTTGAACCAAATTCATGACCCCATACCAAAACTTTGTATTACCTTTAAGCAGCTTTAGGAAATATTCACAAAACTGTATAAAAGAAAGTACATCTGTAGAGGTAAAATCACATCCCATCACAGCCAGCATAGCTCAGACCCACTTACATAAATATGGAAATAAGAAATGACACAGGCTCTACTCAGTTTGTGGAGATTATGTGCCTCCCCTCCCCGACTGTTTGTATGTATGTATGTATGTCTCTGCCTGTCTGTCTATCCGTAGTGTCTTTCTACCTCCATCTCTTTCTTTCTTCTTTACTTACCCTTCTTCCTCCACAGATCAAAGCAGTGAATTAAGCTTGCCAGATATTCAACCTCCTTTTTAAAATCTCTTTCTCTCTGGATTCACCATGATATATGCAAACCACATGCATCAATCTGAGATCAGATTTGGGTTAATACAATGTGTGTTGATAAAAGAACCGACTTTCAAAGATATCGCACAAAGAATACTGACATCTCCAAAAATGTCTTCGCTCAAACCATTTTCTAAATACTCCATTAACAGTTCAATTTACACTTAATTGAAACCCTACCATCGCCGGTTGCATGTTACCCCAGAAAGGTGCACATTCCTCTGAAGACATTGCAAAGGCATAAACTTACTCTGCATTCTCGTGGCCATACAGCTGGGGCACCGTTTCCTTTAACTTCACCGTGATGCCGTTCCCGCCCTTGATCGAGCGTTCACGGTAGACGTTTACGAGGGTATAGAGGTTCGGGAACGGAAGGTTTTCGACCAGGTAATAGCAAGTTTTGCCGTGGACGGACTTGGAGCGAATACGGCAGTGATTGACGCGATTGTTAGCCCTGTGGGTTAATAGGGTGCGATTAGAGATTACACGAGGGGGAGGGAGGGGGGGGGGGTGGGGTTAACAAATAGATTAGGTTAAGCTTAATCCTCATGAGACAAGTGCTTGGAGAATTCATCTGGAGAAATATGTGTTATATAAGGGTGGTGCGATGTGGTTAAGTTTGAGTGGCTTGTTAGCTGAAGACATGATGGGTTTGGACCTAGAACTTTCCACTCCATTCATGTTTGCAAGAAACATCTTACCTTGTCTCTCTCTCTCTCTCTCACTCTCTCTCTCTCTCTCTCTCTCTCTACCTACCTACTTGGTTAGTGCATGTGTATTAGATATATCAATGAACAGCAAATATGAGAGGAAAGCATTGATGTTATAATGTAGCTGATAAAAAGGGATGCATGAAACAAAAGAAGTAGAGTTGGTACTACATGTACATTAGTAAGTAAGCGAATGCAGAATGTAAAGCTCTACATGTATCATGCATCTACAATACTAAGCAGAGGAGAAAACACTAAGAGGGACATAACAGACAAACACAAAACACAATACCCCCAATGAGCCACACTCAACGGGCTCAGTAGAGCAAGCATATATAATATCATGCAGTGCTTCCAATCACTACCTCTGATAACCTTGGTGACCGTCTCTTCGAGGGAAGTGAAGGGGGGGGGGGGGGGTCACTGCGAGGTCATTGGACAACGACCTCATTCTGACTTACTCTTTGTTCTCGTGGCTTGGGGGTTGAGGAACCGGTTCTGTTAGCCTGACCTCCAGGTCACGGCTGCGTAGGGGCACCGCCCGGTAGTGGTTGATGAGAGTGTAGAGACTGTCAAACGGCATGTTCTCCACCAGGAAGTACTTGGATTGACCTCGGTCAAGCTTGGACTTGATGCGACAGTGGTTGACCTTTCCCATGGCCCTACCAAAGGTCAAGGCGTGTTTTTGAAAGGTTGCATTTGGGTCAGGGTTGAATATTGGGGTAAGAATTTAAAAGGAAGAATTGATTGCCAATTTTTTTCCCCCAAAAAAGTAACCAAATATCCACCACCATAGATTGCAGAGAAGGGGGCATATCATTTTTTTTTAAAGTAATTTCAAGGTCAGTAGAGTTTTACGTACATTTATACGTAATTTGGGGGAAGTCGTTTTGTATTCAATGATTTTTTACAATTGCATCAGTTGTTGAATCAATATTTTTCATATTGTGTTCAAAATAATCATTTCAACATAAAATGAAGAGGTCATTGAAAAAACATGTGATGGGATTGGATGAAACATTGGAGTGAGGGCACATGAATATTCAGTAGCAGTTGGTTTTATGTTTGTTCACATTCAACATTGTCAATGTTTTAGTGATGCATTGTTTGTTTGGCCAATGAATTATGCATTGATCAGCATGGGAATTGGAATGGGATTCAGGAGTGCCAAAATGTTGGTTTTCAAATGTTCATTGATTACCATGAAATGGATGTTTTAAGATCGGTATGCAAAAAGATTTGATTTAGACAATTTGATAGTGGGCAGAAGGAATTGGAAATGAATTGGATAAAAGTAATGAAATGGAAAGGAAACAAAAAAGAAAACATGAAAATACTGAATGAAGATATGGAAAGAGGTATCAACTTCAAAGCTACATGTATAGCTACAATGAAACATATATTATCCTCCCATGAACATTATCACTTTGTTTCAACAAGAATGAAATAGAGGCTTACATCTACCTTCATAAATCTAGCATTCTGTTACTATAGGAAACATGTTACATCTATATCTTTTCTGATGCGCTAGTGAAGGTTAATTTACCAGTGAAACATTCTTTTGTTTAACACATGATATTCATATCGGGCTATTTTATCAGTCTAAGTTACAATGCTTTCTTTTCCCCAACAAGTATATTCTGAGTGGCTCGACAGAAAGACGACTTTTTGGATATCTTTAAAATTAAAAAAATGTACATGCTGGTACTTGATTCAGATGAAATAAAAGTTAGCCCAAAATAGAATTTTGCCAGGCTGATGAAATTACACTGATACTGTACCTGCATACAGAATATTCACAGCATTTCTAAAATCTCATGAAACATACTGTAGTGTCACATAAAACTTACCAATGGATGTCCATATTAGATTAAACTGCATTATTTGTATATGAATGTATGAATGTATGAATGTATGAATGTGCAAGAATACAATGAGACATGCATTGATGCAATAGTGTGTGTTATTAGCAATGTAGTTGCATGCATTATCCTTATTTGTTCAGGATTGCAAATCATTTTAGCAGATAACAGCAACAATTATTTCTCAGCTCATAATTAATTTCTTTTACATCGGTGTGTCATATTTGAAATGACCAAACTGAAAACTAGTAACTTATGCATTTCTAAACCATATATTACTATATTATAATATTGTCAGATCGTTGTTTTTGCATGTAAATTGTACCTTATTGTGAGCATCATTTGCCCCCCCCCCCCTCCCCCCCCAAAAAAAAAAACTAGATGGAATTCGACTGCGCGCAGTCGAAATGATGCCTCCGTCATAGAGCAATTTTACAAACCAAAACAGAAGAAATTTTTCAAATTCAAGTTCAATTGTAATCCATTAACAGGTTCTCAGAATATCGTGATTACAAGCAATTTCTCATATACATATATGACCCTTTGATCTTTGACCTCATGACCCAAGAATCTACTCAGTTCATTGGCTCTGCAAGATACATACATGATCTAAGTTTGGCAGAAATCCATCAATCTGTTCTAATGATAATGCGATCAAAAGCTAGTTTTGCATACATAATGAGCCGTATGACCTTTGACCTTGACCTCATGACCCCAAAATCTAATCAGTTCATCGGCTTTGCAAGTAACATACATGATCTAAGTTTGGCAGGAATCCATCAATCGTATCTTGAGATAACGCGATCACAAGCTGTTTTTGCATACATAATGAGCCCTGTGACCTTTGACCTCGTGACCCCAAAATCTAATCAGTTCATCGGCTCTGCAAGATACATACATGACCAAAGTTTGGCAGGAATCCATCAATCGGTTCTTGAGATAACGCCATCACTAGCTGTTTTTGCATACATAATGAGCCCTGTGACCTTTGACCTTTAAAGGGATCCGGTAACTTTGTCTCAGATTCTGAAACAAAATTCTGGATTTAGCTCATGGTGCAATGATAATTACAAACCTTTAGGCCAGTCAGGAACCCCGTGACTTTTACAAGCCGATCACCTGTCTGATTATCAAGATATTTATGATTGAAATTACAAATTTTGAAAACCGTTCGCCTGACGGTTTCCATAACATTACAGTCTATTGGGGAAAACGAGTATGGTAAAACCGGTCACTCAAAGATTTTTACTTTTTTGAGGCACTTCTTGATCATTTTGAAGCGCAATTTGTTTAGGGCTTCAATATTACACCATATCACATACACTGATATCACGTAGGGCCGTGTATCTCAGATTTAACATTGTTAAACGATCCCTTTAACCTCGTGACCCCAAAATCTAATCAGTTCATCGGCTCTGCAAGATACATACATGACCAAAGTTTGGCAGGAATCCATCAATGGGTTCTTCAGATAACGCGATCACGAGCTGTTTTTGCATACATAATGAGCCCTGTGACCTTTGACCTTTGACCTCGTGACCCCAAAATCTAATCAGTTCATCGGCTCTGCAAGATACATACATGACCAAAGTTTGGCAGGAATCCATCAATTGGTTCTTCAGATAACGCGATCACGAGAACGGGACGTACGGACGGACGGACGTACGGACGGACGGACGTACGGACGTACGGACGTATGGACGTACGGACGGACGGACAACCCGAAAACATAATGCCTCCGGCTACTTCGTAACGGAGGCATAAAAATACAATTCTAGTGAGTCTGAAGGAGAAATCGTTTTTAAAAATGCATCATTGCATCAAAAAAATAAAATGAAATAGCAACTACAATTCTAACTTTGTTGGAAATGCAATGTTATGATTTATTCATTTTGAGCTCACTCTTCTATTCTAAAATCACAAAATAGCATCTATTTTGTACAAAATATTTTTAGATAAAGAAATTATGACGAGATAATGCAGCAAAGAGCGTTTTTAAATTTGATGAAAAAGAGTTGCTGATATCTTTGCTAAAATTTAAAATCGGGGAGAGGGGTCAGGGGATTGTAGAGAGTATGCATCTGAAAGCAAATAAACCCACCACCACTACATGTACTTCAGAAATAATGACTTAATGATAGTGGGGGAACTTTTGAGCAAGAAAATTAGACCATGTAAACTGAATAATAATTGAAATCATCATAGGATACACTGCATATTTTAACTTGCAAATTCTTTCTGTAATGATATTTTAAAAAAGAAGGAATTCATTCAAATAATCCACTCCAATCAGAACTTTCCATGGATGTACGCAATTGTTCTTGTAATAGTTAAATCCTCATGTGCAGAGCTGAATAATTGCAAGCTGAACTGTGTTACAAGCACTACATGTAAATGATATGAAAATATACTTCCACCCTGCACAGAGCATCCATATTACAACCCCCCCCCCCCTCCCCCATAGCAATGTTTGACCAAAGGAGTGGTCAACATCCCCATATTTACTTGCACAACATAAAAATTATAAATCAAGTTGCTATGTAACAACTGTGCAAAAAGTAAGTCAACAAACTGCCCAAATTTACTCTCCATTGACTGCAGGACATGATCCTATTTTGTGTTTTTGAAAGCATTTTGGCAGGTATAGACAATAATTCCCCCCCCCCCCCCCCCCCCCCCCCCCGTTCAAAAACAGCTTTTGAAATACTATCACAGTGCCCATTGATTTTTATATGACTCTTATGAAATCAGTATATCAGAGAAACAATTTATTTTCCCTCTACAAATAAATCAATGCAAATGATCCTGTTTCTCAAAACATAAATAAAGTTATTCCTGGATCTTAAAAAGATTCCATCATTTCCAAAAAGCTGAAGAGCAATAAATCTTGCAACATGTTTATATTAATTTTGGGGGGACCCTGCAAATTATTCCTGAACCAACCCCAAAAAGGAGAAAAAAATCATAAGAATTTGAAGCTGTACCAGAAAGAGAGGGAGTAGTCTCCTTTGAACGTCTCGCTTTCACGAACGAGGAAAGTGCCATCGCCTTGCTGATAACGTGTGAGGAGTTCTTCCGCGACCATGCGAGGTAGCTGGTCGGCGTTCGTGTTCAGTTTTCCGTGAAACCAGGGCTCCGAGTAATGAAGCTCTTCGTTGGGCGTGACCTTTAGTGTGCGATTGTTGTTGATGATTTGTAAGCAAAGGTTAAAAGAAAAAGTGCACAGGAAAAATATGATAATTGAAATCAACAGTAAGCGCAATGCTGTGGTTTGAAAGCTTTACTAAAAGTAATCGGATTGTTTGTCTTTTTCCCTTATAGCATGGTTTTTTGCACAGCTTCTCAATCATCTATAGTCAGTCTGTGTAGCCTACGGGAGCCGGGTGGCTACTATATCAAGCCTATGGTAATGAATGAATTCAGATGTCAGTGGGTTAAATACCTATAGTCCCAATGAAAACATATGAAAGCAATCATTAAAGGTGCTGATCAAAAATAAATCAAACAGGTTAAATCTGGTCAATTATGCAATGGTGATCTGTTGAATAATGTTAGATATAAAGTAAATAGTGTTGAACGTATGAAACTCTAGATGCTTTCTTAAACTTGAATGACAATGGAGCAACAGAATCTATGGGCAATTCATCACAGCTTGCTCACAATGGACTATTCCTACATATATGTATTTATCTATTTAAGTTTATAGAGATGTACACGTACATAAAAAAACTCTATTGTGCCATTTCTCTGCCCCCCCCCTCCTGCCTTAGGTTGTTCCAAAGATATTCATAGTAATTGTTTTTGAAAATTTCTTGAAAGTCCTCACACTGTATACATAACACAAATCAGTTGTAGACCTGGGCACTGTCGTACAAAGAGTTGCGATCGATTTTCGGATTGATTGCAAGTTCTCTTATGAGCTTCTATCTTGTTACTGGATATCAAGCTGCCCTTGACTCCCCACCTGAAAGATTGAATATACCTACTGAGATTCCCCTTAGATTCCCCACTCCACCATCACTCACACACATGGAATGCAAACTATTTTTTTAAAAGGTCAAATGCACTTGAATTATGAATAAGCATGCATAATCTATAAATCATTGAAAGCATCACGCAATCTTATTTAACAAGAGCAGAAGCTTTTTGTTTAAACAGTGCCGGGAGTTAACATTTCCCACAGACTGTGCGTGATGTACCAGAATGAAATGCTAAAACTTGTTGGCAAGCGGTCGCTCTCCCGCACAATAAAAGTGCCGTCTTCCCCGTTGTACTGCTTTAGGAGCTCTTCAGCAATGGACGTGCCACTTCGTTCTGGAGTACTGAGATCTCCGAAAAACCAATTTTCATTGTAGTGCAGTTCACATTCGGCTTTGGATGGCTAAGAATGGGTAATTTGTGGTAAAAAATGTACAATTCTTATTCCTGCCACGTTAATCCTGGCAGATTTGTTACATCTTTGCTTTTTATACCAAATGAATTTCTCAGCTAGTGTTTATCCTTCTTGATAGGTCGATTTGAAATCACCATAACATACATTATGAATTGATATTGGTTCTTATTGGTTCGATTGTCGTTGGTTATGATTATCATTTGAATTTACAGGTGATATACCTGAACTTCTAAGGATGTAAGGTATTTAAACTAGAGATGAACTATCATGACTAGAATACAGTAAAGAGTATTCAAACTAGAGATGAACTATCATGACTAGAATACAGTAAAGAGTATTCAAACTAGAGATGAACTATCATGACTAGAATACACTTTCTTTTTCTTCCCTGTCCCCACCATTCACATCATATCATGCAAATAGTAATAGTTTAAGAGTACATATTTCTTCTCAAATGTAGTAATGGACGATCAATTCTAAACCCAAATAATTGTTTGTATTATAGTATGTGTAGTCCATATAATTTGTAACACAACCCAACGCAAGATATATTATATACATGTGTGTTGTTGATTGTTGTGACATTTTTTCTTTTCCGTTGTATAGTGCTGTAAATATTGTATGACATGCCATGAGTCCAGAATGGGACCATGGTCCTAAAATATATATGTATGATGAGTTCTTTTGAAATAAAAACTTGGCAAAACAGCAACATTTAGAGCCGTTTGCAAAACCTTCATCCTGTTTTTAAATAGTTTGATTCGTACTACTATTGGTGCATTCTTTTCAATTCCATTTCCTTCATATATCCTGTACATCCTCCCCAATGTCCTACATCTTCTTCTTCACAATGAACTCTGTGATGCCACCATCATCTACAATGAATACATACCGGTTCTATGGAGCTAGCATCATCATCATCGTCTTGGTTAGCCTGCGTGTTAGTCTCCTCAGAGTAGTACAGCTTGGTGTCAGTCAGCACAAAGTAATGAGGAGCCCATTCTTGCTGCAATAGAAAAAGGAGAAGGAGGAGAATAGATCAGTTCACGGTTTAGTAGCACATGTCCCAAATGACCCCCAATATCCACAGATCTTCAAACCATGAAGAGGTCCCACTTTGTACATTTTGAAATAATCACTCCTACAGCAATGGAGGTACTACATAAATAGCCTATATTTCCCCTTTTCAAAGAATACTTCCACCTGTGTATCATGGAGTGCACTGTGTATAAATGAATAATGATTACATAACTTTCATCATCCAGTATTTTATCTCCGTGTATTTCACAATTTGGTCTGCAATGACTTTTATCTGCTCATGCTCAGACTGCAACTATGAACTGGCTTATTATATGTCTCATATGTAAATGATACATGCATACCGACCAACCTTCCGCAGCAAACATTAGGAATCTCTCAAAGGCAAAAATAGGAACAGTCTATTTTGTATACTTTTCTCACAGAATATTTCAGAAAAAGAGAAGAATCTAGGGTTCAAAACAATAGCCTGAAGGCCCAAAAATAGAAATCATTCCTCCACAATAGGAATAGCTGGCAGCTATGTTCATGTGTGTAAAAATGTCACACCTCCTGACTGTTGACTACAGTGGACAACAAAGGTTTTAAAATCTAGAAATTTGCTATAGCTGCATGTATGCAAAGCATACACAACCTGATAACCAATCAGGCCATTTATTATATATGTATTCTCATATACTGCATCAAAGATTTGCAGTTGGTTAAATAATGAAATACTAAAGGAGAGAGGTGGAAAATTGTTTGAGATGACTGCAGCAATGAAAACACCAATTTGAGAAAGATAATAGTTCAAATCATGACTGCAGTGTAGAGCAAAATGTAAAATTTACTCTTGACTTTCTACTGGAACAGACTTAAATACTTACATCTAGTGGATCTTCAAGAAGGAGAATGCCATTTTTGGTTGAATTTCTCAAGTCAAAGTCTAGACCTACAATGAAATAAAAGTCAAAACATTGCTATAAATGAACTTGTTCATGCGAAAAAAGTAGACTGTATCTTTTAAAACAAATAAATTTCCTAGTATGAAATCAGAACAGATTCAGACTCTTCATGCATATTTCCTTCATGTATCAAATGAATATAAAATCAATGGAGGAAGGAAGGAAGAGCAATTGTTTAAAAGCATAAGGCTTGTGATGGATTCACCATAACAATTTTTATTACAAAACTTCTTGAAGAAGGAATAAAGGAAAATGACATCCTTTCAAGCTGGTCAGTTCTTTTATCAGACGGGCTTTCTAAACTCAACATGATTCAATTATTACAATGATTGTGGGTTTGAATTAATTCTAGGAATCAATCATGAAACAGAGTTGATCACTAGATAACATCAAGGAATCAATCATGGAACAGAGTTGATCACTAGATCACATCAAGGAATCAATCATGAAACAGAGTTGATCACTAGATCACATCAAGGAATCAATCATGAAACAGAGTTGATCACTAGATCACATCAAGGAATCAATCATGAACAGAGTTGATCACTAGATCACATCAAGGAATCAATCATGACGGAACAGAGTTGATCACTAGATCACATCAAGGAATCAGTCATGAACAGAGTTGATCACTAGATCACATCAAGGAATCAATCACGAAAACAGAGTTGATCACTAGATCACATCAAGGAATCAATCACGAAAACAGAGTTGATCACTAGATCACAGCAAGGAATCAATCATGAAACAGAGTTGATCACTAGATCACATCAAGGAATCAATCATGAAACTGAGTTAATCACTAGATCACATCAAGGAATCAATTATGAACAGAGTTGATCACTAGATCACATCAAGGAATCAATCATGAAACAGAGTTGATCACTAGATCACATCAAGGAATCAATCATGAACAGAGTTGATCACTAGATCACATCAAGGAATCAATCATGGAACAGAGTTGATCACTAGATCACATCAAGGAATCAATCATGGACATTATCTCTGCAGGACCAGGAAAAAAAAAGAGAGAATGAGAATGAAACCAATCTATGTCCTTACTGTCTTCTGTGGGAACTGTGAATGTCTCGTTTCCATTATCAGGAAGCTTCTTGTGTTTCAAGATGATCTTCCTCTTGAGCTTGCTGACAGCAGGAAGGCTGGCTGCATCCCTGTCAATGGGCTGTGTGAGTAAGGTGTCTGTAGCAAGTAGGAAAAAAAGCGACGCATTTATTGATAGATGGGACTGTACGGTCAATTCACAGATGTTAATTGTGTTATCAATCGGTTAGTTACAGAAATTTTGATAAAAGTACAATCTGGCAACTACACAACAACAAAGGCAAAGACTTAAGAAAGCAACAAAATATAAATATAAATGTGGTTGGGGGGAAACTCACCACCAAAGACTTCTTGGAAGAGGCAGGCCATGTTTCTCTGCTGTAGTAGTGAGCAATGATTCTCAATGGATAAGATAATGGGAAAGCTGGGGGAAAAAAAAAGGGTAATAATATTACTATTCCATTAAATGACCATTATTATTAATCAATTTACAAGCATTTATCAACAAAATGAAAATGTATAGTAGTATCATCATCATCCTCTATCAACACCACCACCATCACTACCACACCACCATCACCATCACCACCATCATCATCATCACCACCATCACCATCATCACCACCATCATCATCACCACCATCGCCATCACCACCATCATCATCACCACCATCACCATCATCATCATCACCGCTAAATCACAATCACTCTACCTCCTCATCACCATCAGCACTGCCATCACCACCACCACCATCACCATCACCATCACCACAACCATCATCATCATCATCATCATCGCCTACATCACCATCACACCACCACCACCACCACCACCACCACCACCACCACCACCACCACCACCACCACCACCACCACCACCACCACCACCACCACCACCACCACCACCACCACCACCACCACCACCACCACCACCACCACCACCACCACCACCACCACCACCACCACCACCACCACCACCACCACCACCACCACCACCACCACCACCACCACCACCACCACCACCACCACCACCACCACCACCACCACCACCACCACCACCACCACCACCACCACCACCACCACCACCACCACCACCACCACCACCACCACCACCACCACCACCACCACCACCACCACCACCACCACCACCACCACCACCACCACCACCACCACCACCACCACCACCACCACCACCACCACCACCACCACCACCACCACCACCACCACCACCACCACCACCACCACCACAACCATCATCATCACCACCATCACACCACCACCACCACCACCACCACCACCACCACCACCATCACCACAACCGTCATCATCATCATCATCATCGTCTACACCACCATCACACCACCACCACCACCACCACCACCACCACCACCACCACCACCACCACAACCATCATCATCATCATCACTCTACCACCTCATCACCATCACCACTGCCATCATCACCTACGATGTGATGTCACATCACCACTGTCATCATCAACAACGTTACCATAAACTTATGAAAGCCTTACTCTGTGGTGATCCAAGCATGTTCTTTGATTGTCTTGAGTACATCATAGAACCTGATCTTGGTGGTCAAGGTGTGACCATGGTAGATGATTGGTAGACCGTCTGGTCCATCCCAACAGTCCACTGCAAACACAATGATAAACAAACGTAAGGAATGACAGTATTTAAAAATAAACTTGAGTTCTGTTTTTTTTTAAATGAATTCTAACAGAATCAAATGAAACTTACACTGAATGTTCAAGATTACAAATAAATGTCATTTGCCAAACAATTTTGGTAGAAAATGTATACTGGCTGAGTAATGAGCAAAAAAATAGATAAGAAAATCAAGGTTAGTAGCCCAGACACAAGTGCCAGACACCATTTGTGTAGGCCCATATACATCTTTCGGTGTACAGTGCTTGTTACTTTACCAAGACTGAGCCAAATTTATTGTGATTTTGATGACTCCAGAACCTTGCAGTACACACCAATACTTATATGCTAAATGATCAACTTTTTCTGATCCATTCCACACCTTTTCTTTCACAATGCAATCACATTACCAGAACTCAACTTTATCTTTAACCAGTTGAGTAAATGATGCGATGCAACTCTCCAAGACAGTACATATTATAAAGCAAACTTTCATCTATCTTCAACATTACTCTTTGACAATCCTGTTGCACTTTCAATTTCTCAGCTAATGACAGACATCATCTACAGCCCCTTTTACATCATTAATATGTTATGGCATATATACAGATTTAACTGTCAAACAAGGCATGTTGTCATATTCTGTGCTTGCAAAAATAGCAAGATACTCTCCATTTCTCTATAGTTTTTACCTCCTTTTGTAATTTGTATTCCCTGCCAATCTTTCATGCCGCAACATTCACAACAGCAGGGTTTTTTTTGTTCTTATTCTATTGGGTAACAATAATCACACTACATAATAGTCTTTATTGAAGGCTACTTCATGGCCTAAATTTAGAGACATTACAACACACTGAGAAGAAAAAAATTCATATAGTGGCCCTCAGAGGCAAAGCCTTGAGGGGCACATGGCCCAAGCCCAGTGATGCCAACCTCTTGACACAAAAAACAGACCGAGTATCCTAAAAAATCAGACTTTGGAGAGAAAACTCAGATTTTCATGAAAACTCGACACTACCGATTTCGTGGTTTTTTATGGGTATAAAAAAAATATATTAAAAAAACAAATAATAATAATAATAATAATAATATTCTTAAAAAATAAATGGACAAAAAAAATGAAAAAAAAAAATTAGTTTTGTTTTTGTTTGTTGAAAAATCGTACTTTAAGAGGTGATATTGTATTATCGTATTCCACTCTTATTATCATACTAAATACGATTAAATCGTACTAGTTGTAGAGGCAAGCCCCTTTCTATTTCCCCCTTGTTACTTTGACTGCACATGGTGTTTGACTTACATTCTAGACATCTGCATCCCATTCTGAGGCACCTTGCATAGGCTTCCACTGATGATTCACTGGATACCTGGTCTCCAGTCAAATACCTGAATATTCAAATATTATAATTTCTTTTTTCGTTATATTTCATTCTCCATTAAAATAATATATATATAAATACAAATAAATCATACACAAAATTTGAAAATGAAAAGGGGAACTACTTAAATAAAAAAAATAAAAATATTATTATTATTATGTATTCACTGAGCTCTGTGTTTTAAGATTCCGAAATGTGAAACATATAACACGTTACGTCATCACAAAAAAGTGCAGAGGTCTGAAGGGTAAGTGATCTGGGAGACATTCAATTTTTGGAAATTGATGAAGCCTTATTTACTCCACTACTTCCATTTTGGGGATAAAGTACTTACGTATTGTGAGACGATGCGATCCAATAGTCACAGAGAGGTCTCTCCATGTCATCTGTTATGTTGTCATAGAAACGATTCCAAATCTCATTGTCCTTGGAGTAAAGGTAATCTACAAACTATTAAGAGAGAGAGATAGAGAAGAGAATCAATAAGAAACATAATTTGAATTGATAAATAACCTTGCAACTACAGTCAAACCTGCTTTAGTGACCACCTGTTTACAAAGGCCACATTTGTTGTTTCCCTTGAAAATGGTTTCTCATTGAATCAGGTACTAAAGGAACCTGTCTACAAAGGCAACTTTTTGTGTTTCCCTCGGGTGGTCGCTACAAACAGGTTTACTGTATCATCATGTCCCCAATCCCGAATCCCCACAAAACCCAAGGCAAGTGCATGCTAAGATTTTAGGATTTTTAGTCTTATCAGTCAAGTAACCAAAGTGCTCTTGAAGATCACACTTAACAGAATAAAAGATCAAATTGACAAAGAATATGATAAGGAAGAGTTTGGTTTCAGACCTCAAAGTGGTACAAGGTATGCCATATTCTGTATAAGAATGACATACCTTTGACCTGTGACCTTTGACCTAGTTATTCCGCAATCTAATCAAATTATCTTCCTATGCCGATACATACTATCATCAAGTTTGAAGTTTGTTTCTAAAGTAGTTCTTAAGATAGCGTGATAACGAGAAAGCTGGATGGATGGACAGACAACCTGAAAACATAATGCCTCCTGCATCACCTTTGGTGGGCGGAGGCATAAAAATCACACTTGAGAAAAGATATAGAATACATACATCATATTCTACTTGGAGTGGGCTTGAAAAAAGTGACAAGTATTAAACAAAAGCTTACCTCTTGCACCGTGAAAGAGAGGTCACTATCGCTTTCCATTGCAGCTTTGCCAGAATCAGCAAAATACTTCCGGATGTACTGTTTTACTTCATGTGGATTGTTGGCTACTGGGTCCTGCAAAGCGATTCATTAGAACAACATTTCCAGGAATGAAAATCAGACTTGAATAAAAACAATATAACTTTTGTTAAGAAATGAATAAAGAAATTTCATTGACTTCTTTTAATCTTCTTCCTTTTCTATAAAAAGAAAGTGTTCATTACATGTCAACAAAAATGAGATAATTTTATTTATCTTTAAAACTATCCATTTTTTTATTCATTGGTTTATTTCATTTATTCATTTGTTCCATTATTCATTTATTTATTATCCATCATTGTTTGATTTATAAGCTGTCAGGGTAATATAAAGATCATACTGTATTGTATTTAAATTATTATTGCTTGTTTTTCACTGTATACATGGATCTGCCCCAGAGTACAATATTAATCTGTTGATGCCTTATAATCCTCCCATACGCTTAAGATCATCCGATTCTCAATTGCTTGTTGTTCCGAAAACTAAGAAATCATGGGGGGATCGGTCATTTGCACACGCTGGACCTCACCTATGGAATCAATTGCCACAACATATTTGTTATATTTCAAGTGTAGACTGCTTTAAACATGCCCTCAAAACTCATTTGTTCAAAGTGGCTTTCCAGTAGATTTAGATTTACTTTACTTTTGTTGTTCATTTCTGAGTGTATTTTTGTGTACTTATAGTTTTTCTTCTCCATGCGCCTCGAACACATTATTCATGTGGAGTTGGCACATTATTATTATACACAAATATGAAATAATTTATGGTGGACAGGAAATATTGCTCTGTTCTTCTTGTCCCTACATTCTCTCTTATACCCCTTTTTTTTCCAAAAATTGAAAGGGCAAATAAATAGTTATTTTGTGTTCAAGTTTCACTTATCAACACCTACCTTCTGTTCTTGTGCTAAAAACCTGATGTAGTCATTGAGAGTGACTCTATTCCTGTACAAAGAAAATAAACAAGAAATTGACATCTTACAGAGAGGTTTTCAACAAAGACACTAACTGTAGATAAAGCTTCTACTTTTAAAATGAATAAAAATCAAACTTTTCAAATTATTGCAACATAGGATGTCCATAGACACCTGTATTTGCTTTACAGCAGTTTAATGCACAGCAGGTATTAGTTTTTCAAACAGCAATAGTCATGTTTCTACGATTTTGAAATAAAGGGGGCCCCTGTAAAGCATGACAGCCAGTAAATAGAAGGTGCTGCAAAACATTATCCCTTAATTCGTATCTATAGGAATGGCAAAATAATCTATATATCTGCCACTACAGTATTGTACAATGTGGTACTATGTTACATTGGAGCTCAAGGGCATAGGTATCATATAGTTTTCTCGAGTTTATTCAGTTTTCATTCACCATACACATAAAATGTTATTACACGTAATTGCTACATATTGGCAGTTATAACTCTTATTTACGGTAATTGTATGTACTTTGCACTCATTCTGGTTGTATCAAACTGCAATGACATCTCAGGTTTTAAAAAATTTATTTTTGTATTCGTTTTTTTTATAGAGAATGAGAGAGAGTCATCGTAATGGTCTTTATGACTAAGTTCTATTCAATAATGATTGGGAATAAAGTACAAAACATCTGTGACCTTTGACCTCAGTGGTTAATACCATTCCTAACATACATGTATTACTCATGAAGTATACAATAACCCAGTTTGATGGTAAAGAAACATACATGTGTAGATCTGTACTTACATATCATTGTAGTATTCACGTAACCTGTCTGCTACCTAGAACAAATAACAGAGATTGAAAAAAGGTAGTAAAATCAAAGTAGGTTTTCTGATTCCACACAACAAATATAATCAACATGGCTTCATTGGCATATTACAATGGGTGGATGAAATTTACGGACTTTGATCACTTCCCCATTAACTTCTTCACATCTCTAGTTCATTAATCATTGTAAGGATTCAAGAGGCATCATAAATAAACATTCCTTTGATTCCATAATGGATCAGCACTTCAAAAATAAGTACCCTGGCAAGTTTTTCAATGCAGGATATATGCAGGATATATGTATTAAATAATCATGTAAACATATATAATTAGAATACAGTAGTCAAATGATGACTTCAAAGCAAGGCCCAGCACACACTACAGGATTTGATTTGGAAGAATTTACAACCAACAGCACTTTACATGAACATTCAAACATACCATGTATAACATTTTAATGATCAAGGATCTGATCAGTCATGTGATTAATCAAATCTAAATTTCAGGGGATTTCAAGCTGCTTTGAAGTAGGATAAGCTATAAAATCGGCACAGAATCGTAGTGAGGTCAGACTATAAGTACAATTATCTACGACTTAAAGCCGATTCAGCCTTTATTCTGACTAGAAAGCTTACAGGCACTTAAATTCTGGCCGTTAGTATTCTTATCATTAGCTTCAACCTAAATCAGCAAAACTTTGTTTGTTTACATTATCATTTAACTAATATAACTGCAATTTCTTCAAGAATCGGATCGCAGTCAGACCATTAAGTGTGTGCCAGGCTTTATAATTCACTGTATGGATACAGTTTTGTCTCAAGTGGTTTGAATGGCTGCATGATGTAGTTAATGGCCTACCTCTAAAAAGACTACAACACAAACTACACATGTCTATGTATACAACCTGCCAAATGGGTACGTCATTCTTGGGCACATAATCTTTCTTAATTATAATTGTAAAGTGTGAAATTCACTGAGGCTGATTTCATCCCATTTTACTTTTCAGGATTTATACACCAAAGACAATTTGAAGAAGTTTTTTTTTTTTTTAACCAAATTTATGTTGATGGTCCTATTACTAACATTAAAAAGAATAATTCATTTTGTGAGATGAGTTCTCAATGTCAAATTTAAAACTTTAAACAAGGGGCCCTTTTTATTTGTTTTAAATTAAAAACTAGATGGAATTTTGACTGCGCGCAGTCGAAAATGATGCCTCCGCCATAGAGCAATTTAAACAAGTTTGGAGTTTAAATCTCCAGTGGTTCTTGAGATATCATGATAACAATCTCAATGTATGGAATTTCATAAGTTGACCTCTGTGACCCTTGACCTTTGACCTACGTGCTCCAAAATCTGATCAGATCGTCTTCCTATGGTGATACATACTATCTTTAAGTTTGAAGTTTTTACATCTCCAATGGTTCTTGAGATATCATGATAACAATCTCAATGTATGGAATTTCATAAGTTGACCTCTATGACCCTTGACCTTTGACCTACGTGCTCCAAAATGTAATCAGATTGTTTTCCTATAGTGATACACACTATCACTAAGTTTGAAGTTTAAATCTCCAGTGGTTCTTGAGATATCATGATAACAATCTCAATGTATGGAATTTCATAAGTTGACCTCTGTGACCCTTGACCTTTGACATACGTGCTCCAAAGTCTAATCAGATCGTCTTCCTATGGTGATACATACTATCCTTAAGTTTGAAGTTTAAATCTCAAATGGTTCTTGAGATATCGCGCTAACAACCTCAATACAAGGAATTTCATAAGTTGACCTCTGTGACCTGTGACCCATGACCTACGTACTCCAAAATCTAATCAGATCGTCTTCCTATGGTGATAAATACTATTCCCGAGTCTTAAGTTTAAATCTTAAATGGTTCTTGAGATATTGTGATAACGGTCAAACGGGACAGACGTACGGACGGACAACCCGAAAACATGATGCCTCCGGCACCACCTTCGGTGGCGGAGGCATAAAAACCCGTTGTAAAGGGGAAAACAAATTGGATATCTCACCTCTTGTTGGAATACTAGGTTGTTGTAGAGTTGAAGGAGACCATCAAACGGTATTTCCTGCCGACCCCATCGGTCTGCCTCCTGTTGTCAGAAAAAAAAATCAAATTATTATCATCATCATTAAAATAATTAGTGTTACTTAGTTGACATTACTTGTGCTTGGGAGGGGAAAACAAACTAAATCACTATTAACAAAAAAAACATAAGTCTCTTCTCCCGGTATAACTGAATGAGCTGTGTGAAGTTCATGTTCCACTTTTCTTTTACAAAGAGTGCAGTGTGATCTTAACGCAGAGATGCCAACCTCCTGACACAAAAAAAACAGACTGAGTATCCTAAAAAAAAAATCAGATTTTCGAGATAAAAATCAGATTTTCACGAAAACTCGACACTACCAATGGTCCGTTGGCCCCGGGCCAGTAAAATTTCAGAAAAATGTTTTACTGGTAAGTACGGTCAAGTAAAATGTTTGCTCTTTCATTAAAATTTAAAGAGAAAATTTAAAAGCAAAAGTTTTTGTTGGGGTTGCCGGTGTTCACTTGTACATGTTTCTATGCGATTCCACAGTTTTTATGTTTTTTTTTTTAATTATTACTTATTTATTTTTCTATTTATTTGTTTATTTGTTTATTTATCTATTTTTTTTTTTTTAAATAAAAAAAACAAAATTGTATTTTAAGAGGTGATATCGTATTATCGTATTTCACTCTTATTACGGTACTAAATATGATTTAATCGTACTGGTTGGCATCTCTATTAACGTGCATGGAAGGTGGGCGACTCTCCTATACACAGGTACAGACCACTTTCAGCTGTAACCAATTTTGTTTTTTATATTATAAAAATTGGTACAATTTTTATGCATGGTACAAAAGCCAAGACTGGTGGCTGTTTTCTGTACACCTGTAATTCCGGGAATCCTCTGCCGCAAAGTGATTTTTTTTAATGACCTTTAAAGACACGCCTATAAAGTGTTTTTCATTGAATGAAAGAGATCTGAGGCCGAGCTTTAAATGAATGAAGGTTTTTTCTTGGCTCCAAGAAAAACAAGCAGATATTATTTTGCTCCAAGAAACTTACAGTTCTCCAGACACTGTTAGTACTTGGGCATATGAGTGGAATGGCAATTTTTTTTTTAACGCATGGTTCTGTACATAGTAGAGGGGTTTTGGTCATGATGAAAAAGACTGTTGAATACAGTGTCGTATCTAAAATAATTTCCGATAGCGGAAGGTATTTGATATTAAAACTAGTTATTGATGGAAATGAGTTTATAATAAGCAATGTTTATGCACCAACTGTGGACAAAAGAACAGAGCAAAGATTCTTTTTCGAACATTTTGTTACGCGACTACACTCAATTGAAGATATAGATACAATTCCAATTATAATGGCAGGTGACTTTAATGTACTTAAGGGTATAAATCTTGACAGACAAGCTGGGCACCCCCAGTTTTCCCAACAGGTTGTCAATGTACTTAATGAGATGCAAAGGGAACTTGATCTCATCGACATCTGGAGAATTAGACATTCTACAGCTAAAAAGTATACATGGAAACGGTTACGGCCTTTCATTCAGAGCCGCTTAGATATTTGGTTCATTTCTGAGATCTTACAAGGCTATGTATTGAAGGTCCGGGAGTAAGCTCTGACTATTCTGCTATTGTTTTAGAATTAAAAGTTCAAAACAGGAAAAAAGTGAATGCTTTTAATTGGAAATTCAATAATGATTTATGCAATGATGATTCGTTTTGCTCTAAAATGTCAGAAAACATAGATAAATGGATTAACAAAACAGTTCCATTTGAATATGTTCGCATGAGGGGGGAATTTTTAAAATATCAGATGCGTTAATTTTCGAGACAATACAGCATTGAAAAGACAAAAGCAGGAAGAATTAGACGAGTTGAATTAGAGAAAAAATTACAATATTTACAAGGTTTACTTGAAGACGGTGATGCACACATTGAAGAATATGAGCGTGTCAAGTATGAATATGAGTCTTATATGAGTCTTATATGGACAAGGTAGCCCACAAGAGTAGATCCTCGATCTTCTTGCTGCATTCTCCCACTGGATTTTGATGGTTTTAACATGCTGGTGAATTTGATAATTTCAGAAGTAGATGTGGGTCTAAGGAAGAGTGAAGTAATACCATGTTTTCCTTGCAGAAATCTACAAAATATATTAAGGTTTAAGTTGTCATAGTGCATATGAGAAGGTATCGTGGGTTCTTTGCTTTACATAAAAGAGAATTAATATGATTCCAAGTCTTCTTCATATCACCTTTTACATTTTGGACAATTTCAGAATAATACTTTCGCTTTGAGCTACGTATCACATTGGTAAGTTTGTTTTTGTAATTGGAATACTTCACTTTGTTCCTTAGACTAGAACATTTTAAATACTTACAGTACAATGTATGTTTACTTTTAATAGATTTAAGAATACCTTTAGTAATCCAAGTTTTTTTCCGTCTCTGTTTTGAAGAAGGATTTTCTAGTGGGAAACATGTATTATACAACTTTGAAATTGAATAATAAAAATATCATAGGAAAGGTTAACATCTTCTGTCTCATATACTTCACTCCAATCTTTGTCTTTGGTGTTAATCTTTAAATTGAGATATTCTCTTGTGATTAATAAACCTTCTTTTTAAAGCAATATCATCTTTATTTGAAAATTCTTTAGGTATACCAGTGTTGATACAAAAAATTGGAAAATGATCGGATATGTCTGAATAGATCAGGCCACGTTTGACATTAACTGGGATAGCATTTATGATTTAGCATTCAATTAATGTCGCTGTGCTATTCATTACACGAGTAGGCTTTGTTATTAATGGAAGTAAGTCATGTGAAATATCATGTATAAAAAGTCACTGGTTTTGTTATCAGTCATAATTGAGCAAGCCTATATTAAAGTCACCAAGAAAGTAAATTTCTTTTTTCTCACAGAGGATATCATTGAGGTATTTGTCATCTCTACTACTCTAGCATTAACAAATTTTAATATCAGTATCTGGAGCCCTGTATAAACAATTATGGACTTTCTTTTATCCTGTAAAATTTCAATAAACAAAGATTCACATATTATATCACTATCAGAGATGACCAAGATTGTAAACATCAATAAGAAACACATTTATAACTGTATTTGTTTTAAACGATGTTTCAGATATTGTGATAACGGAGAGAGACTTTAATAAAATAAGCAATTCATCAAAGTTACGCAGGAGACTTCTTGCATTAAGATGTAGTAGGGAGAGTCCTTTGTTTTGCTTTGAATATTTTGCCACAAAATTGTCAGAAAACAAATATTCCCAATTTCTGTTGTCCATACTGGACTGGATACCATCATGAGTTTCTACGTTTAGAGAGAGATTCTGATATAGTTCACTGTTTATATTTATTTGGAATGGGTGGAATTTCAAATAATGAAGTTTTTCCATATCTATATTTCGATTAAGGTTGAAAAAACTGTAGAGTGCATCCAAGAAGTCTCCATCAGTAATATAATGGTTAAAGCTGGATATAAGTAAGTGGAATAAGGAAATCATATACTACCGTAAATCTCTGTGTATAAGACGCACCTGTGTATAAGGCGCACCCCTATTTTGGGGGCAGAAAAATAATTTAAAAAATATAATAATTTTTTAAATTTTTTTAATTGTTTTGTTTTTTATTTTTTGTTTTTTGTTTGTTGTTATTTTGTTGCCGAAAACCCATATGGGAAGGACTTTCATTTAACATCGAGGTGCTGTTAAAGGTAAAGACCAGTATTGGAAATGCCCCAATTTCAAAAAATGAAATGGAAGCTCTCATTACCAATCATGTGAAAGAATATGTTTTGACTGATACATGATGATAAAAAATTTGCTGAGAAACCGCCTGCTAATTCATATATTTGGTAAATTTGTTTCTCTCATGGTCTTTGAGAGATATAGGGTAGTCCCATATACATCTTTCTGTGTATAGTGCTTGTAACTTTACGAAGAATGGGCCAAATTTCTTATCATTTTGATGATTCCAGAACCTTGCAGATGCTAGATGCTAGATGATCAACCTTTTCTGATCGATTCCACAACGTTTCTTTCACAATGCAATCGCATGACCATAACTGGTCTTTACCTTTAAAGGCGCTGATGTGTGCTTGTGAACTTGCCACAAATAATAGTAACAATGTCATTTTTGGAAGAATGTATGAGATCATTAATGTAAATTAAAAACAGTAGAGTACCTAGGATAGAACCTTGTGGTACACCATGTGTAATAGAAGAAAATTTTGAGGAATTATTATTATAAGCTACATATTGAGATCTATTAGAAAGATTACTTTCAAACAAAGATGACAGACAAATTTGAGTGTTGTTCTAGTTTCTGAGTGGCGAGTTAACACACTGATTACTGAGCCGGGAGAAATTGCCAGGCATAGCGCCGGGTGGAGGGGCATAAATCTAAATTTCAAATATTTTTGTGTGTTTTTATGTGTACCTGTGTATAAGACGCACCCCTGACTTTCAATTTTTTTCGGCGGCAAAAAAGTGCACCTTATACACGGAGATTTACGGTACTCCAAAGGACAAATGTATTCTATGTGTATGCAAATTAACAATCCATCTATTTTGTCTACTTTCGCTCGCCTCAATGATCTGTACAGTCTTCATGGTTCCACTGTGTTGAGCATTTTAAGTTGCCATTTATGCTCACGATAGAAACAATATTACGAATGTTTCAGTTGAAAATCATCCATAATCTAATACACCTAAAGTTTTGGTTCGTATTAAGAGAATTAAAAATGCAGCTTGCTACTTTTGTAATGATGATGAAAATCTTGATACCCTTTTGCTTCATGTAAAGTTATAGAACAGTTTTGGTTACGCCTAAGCAGAGCTTTTTCGGAACTCTCTCTTCTCTCAATTTTGTCAACTAAAGATATCCTTTTGGGGCTGACCAAGCTTGTCAAAGTAAGAAACTTTTTTACCATTAATTTCCTGCTTTTATTAGGGAAGCAATATATCTTTAGGTGTAAGTTTACAGAAAACATGCCCAACGTTCATCATTTTGTACATTATGTTAAATATTTTCAGACGGTTGAAAGGTTTATTGCTAAAAGATGCTACAAAATAGATAGGCACAATGAAAATGGCACTTAATTTCCAGAATTTTAGAAAATATTCCTATTTATTAAAGCAATTTAGCAGATGATAGAACGCTGACGGAAATCCTTTTTTGTTCTAGGGAGGGGGAATTTTGACGATCGTTGATGTTTTCTATTCTTTATACTATAGATCTATTTGATTTTTTCTTTGATTTATTGTTGTTACATGGATATAAATGTCTGTATATTTGTATTATGTTTATGTTGAATGTAAGAAATGTTATTGGATCAAAAAAAACTTTTTTTTTTAATTAAAAGAAGCAAGCAAAAGTAACTCTAATTTAAATCTACTTTTGAATGTTAAATTGACCATCTTTATAGTTAAATTATATCAAAATAAATGAAAACCAATAGATTTGAAGATAAACATATACATCATTGGACTAGTTTACTACCAGTTTCCTGGAAATGTTAAACTTACATTGAAGACTTCTCTGAGTTCTTTTGTGTTCATCTTTAGGTTGATCCTTGGTAGGAAAGACTTCATATCTCGCAATGAAACCCTGTCATATAAACAAACAAACAAATAAAAACAAAGTCACTATCGATTGAACATTGGAAGGAAAGACTTCATGTCTCGCAATGAAACCCTGTCATACAAACAAACAAACAAATAAAAACAAAGTCACTATCGATTGAACATTGGAAAAAAAGACTTTATGTCTTCCAAATGAAATCCTATCATACAAACAAATAAAAACAAAGTCACTATCAATAACAGTGGCAGGAAAGACTTTGTGTCTTGCAATGAAACCCTGTCATACAAACAAACAAACAAATAAAAACGAAGTCACTATCGATTGAATATTGGAAGGAAAGACTTCATGTCTTCCAAATGAAATCCTATCATACAAACAAACAAACAAACAAACAAATAAAAACAAAGTCACTATCAATTGAACATTGGAAAGAAAGACTTCATGTCTTCCAAATGAAAACCTATCATACAAACAAACAAACAAACAGATAAAAACAAAGTCACTACCAATTGATCATTAGTAGGAAAGACTTCATGTCTTCCAAATGAAATCCCATCATACAAACAAACAGATAAAAACAAAATGTCACTACCAATTGATCATTGGTAGGAAAGACTTCATGTCTTCCAAATGAAACCCTATCATACTGTTAGGGGGGAACGAGTATGGGAAAAACTGTTCACTCAAAGACCTCAAACCAAGGTTTAAGGTTGCACACAAAACTCTATGCTTATTATCAGATGAGTTTAAAGTAGTTTGTGAGCAATACTCTATAACAAACTTTCAATATCTACCAATAAGGCAATACAGAGTATAATAGTTTCTTTTTCAGGTTTACTGCTAATTACACGACCATCCACTTGATGACCTACATTTGATGAGAACCTCTCGCTTCTCATGTCATTCCCCCTGTCCACACACAACATTTTCCGTGATTAGGCATGATTAGCTATACCGTTTCGCGATAGTCATACCGTTTCGCGATAGTTTTACGATGAAATTGTTTGTGTGGACGCTCACTAACGATACGTCGTATAACGAAACTGGTCTAACGAAACGCAGGTTTGGGCATTGTTTCGAACTGAAACTCAATAACTAATCACGCCTAAACACGCCTAATCACGGAAAATGTTGTGTGTGGACAGGGGGAGTGTAACTAGTGTAACTAACTGGGCGGGGCTTAACGTGACCTCGAGCGAAAGGAGACCAGACCTCTCATTTCCGCTTCCATTTCATGACCGCAGTAGCAAACTGCGCACCTAAGGCATTTCACTGTAGAGTTTCAGGATTACTTTCTTCTGTGTGTGGACATCCTGGAATTTATGCGATGATTCTTTATACGTTTCGTTATAGAGTTTCGGGATAAATTGTTTTGTGTGTGGACATGCTGTTTGTCATCAATGGTTAGGATTCTTTGGAGACCTTAGAGAACTTTCATTTTCAAACCATTACCTCATAGGTTTAGAAACCATAGGCCTACACAGCATGCATAGTTTAAAGAGAAGGTTGAGTTTGGGAAAGAGGTGTTCCCTGAAAAGCATTGCTCTAAATATGTCATCTCCCTGATGTAACATCATAAAAATTGGAATGGATTGTTATGCCACATGTTCGTGTAGTGCCATATACATCTTTCTGTGTACAGTGCTTGTAACTTTACCAAGACTGGGCCGAATTTCTTATAATTTTGATGGATTCCAGAACCTTGCAGTACACACCAATACATAAGCTAGATGATTAACCTTTTCTGATTGATTCCACAACGTTTCTTTCACAATGCAATCGCATGACCAGAACTGAACTTTATCTTTAAACTGATTTCTGCATGTAGGATAACACCAAGGAATTCAACATATAAAGAAAAAATATTCTGGTGATTCATCCCCTCCAATGGAGTCATATTTATGTACTCATTTATAAGATTTCAGTTTTACTGATTTAACGTACAATCTATATTTATATTTGACATCATTGGTCAGACTTTGGTCATTCCGTCTTGATAAAATTGCCCTTTCTGTTTCAAACAAGTTTGCTCCTTTGCCTTCAAAACTGAAAGAGGAAGAAGGCCACTGACAATACACATAGAAGTGTCTGGGTTTCTTAAGATAAGACACAGAACACAGACTCTTGCATTGTCACTATTATCTATCCTCTTCAACAAATTAAAGAGAGCCTATCAATAGCACAGATTTTCATTTTTAACCTTTCCCAAGATTTCCTTCGATACAGACTTTGCAATTACCAATTTAATGTTTCAAATTAAAAAAAGACCCCAAAATGACAATCGATATGAGAATCTTAAATCAGACATTTCTAGTCTTTTAGAAGCCTTAAACAGTTTCTGGTTGGTAGTGATTTGGTAAAAGTGACAGAAATTTAAGGCCAATTTTTGTGCAAAGATTACATCATCACAGCACAACAAACAGCCTGCAAATATAAGCTGCATTTACACTGAAAGCAAAAATCATATATTTTTCTCACATTCTGGTGTTTCATTGGAAGTGGCTGATGGGTGTTTCCAGATTTTTCTAAATGGAGTTTTGGCTGTGTAAATGGGCCTGTAGAGACTAGAATGCCTCGGCCTCAGATTTGGGGCAAAATTGGGAAATGTTGGTACATTTTTGTTTTTAAAAAATGTGTAATTTGCATGCATGGTTCTCAAACATCTCAAAATGGCGGAACACAATGAATAAAGGGCTCCACATGTGTTAAGAATGTGTTATTACGGTCTGTATGCATAGACACCTTATTGAAATTTAGAATGGCAAGGGGTCCAGAGATAAACTTGGGAGGTCTGGGTTAAAATTGCATACCGAACCCCTAATTACTGTATGTTCAGATGTTCAGATGGATGCCCATGTGGACTCAAGTACAAACAGCAACGAAATAATTTTTTCAGGCATTACTTGGGTAATCAAGACAGCTGTCAACAATTTGGGGGACCAATGCCCGAAACATCTCCCTAGACTTGCACTACCCCCCCCCCCCCCATCATTTTAACACATATTTCATTGAAAAAAGACACACCATGACACACCTGCATTTCCTAATAACTATCCCGTAACATAATATAAAAGATACATGTAGTATCAGACCATATTTCTACTTTAAAATGTTGACCTGTCACCGATGCAGTTCATCACAATTAAGTAATGCAGTAAACACACTCTACAATGAGAATCAATTAGTCATGCCTGATCATCCATGTCAAACCTCTGGACCACAATATGGAAATGAAACCACTTATGACATTAGCACTTCCTGCTATTTATCACAACTGTTTGTACATAGCTTTGGCCACCGTGTGACCATATGTGCAAATATATGTAGTGCGTTACTAGAAAAGGGGTTACTTCGAGATTGGCCAACCCACACCACACTCTAATGTAAACAATTGTAATATAAACAATTTTTTCATTTCCTGATTCAGTAGCACGTACATGTACATGTATTGTAGAAGAATCAATAAAAAACAGCTTATGTAGTAGCAGTAGAAGTAGTAGTAGTAATGGTCGTAGTAGTAATAGTCGTAGTAGTAGTAGTAGTAGTAGTAGTAGTAGTAGTAGTCATAGTAGTACATGTATTAGTAGTAGTGGTAGTAGTAGAAGCAGTGGTCATAGTAGTAGTAGTAGTATTCATAGTAGGAGTAGTAGTAGCAGTAGTTGTAGTAGATGATATATATACTGTCAGGTCCATCTCAACATTCCGCTGCACAGATCATAATCATCATCACTAATTTCATTGTTATTATCATCATCATCGACTGGATATTCCTTCACATCCTATCTGCATGTGAGCTGGAATTTCAGTTATGAGTTCATTTATTGATGACCAAAACCTCAACTGCATCAACACTCACATTCTTTCACTTTCAGGTCCACTACAGTCATCCTAGACCCCATTCTCACTAACTTCCCGGAACGGTCTATGTCAGACCGGTCTATGTTAGAGCAGTCTAACGGTGAGTGTGGAGGCACAACCGAGCCACCAAGCGTACCTCTGGACCGATCCAGAAGACCACTTCTGCACCAGTTGGCTTCCTAGACCACTTCAGACCGCTCTAACAAGCAGTGTGATGGTAAACAGTGCTAGGAAGCATACTTCAACCGGTAGTGAGTATGTTTTTGCAGGGAAAGTAATGAAAGACAGAAAGAAAAAACGATTAAAGAATAAAAACAAAGAATAACATAAGGAAAGATAGAAAGAGAAGATGATAAAATGGTAAATATGAAGAATACCATAACATATGGAAAGGTAGAAAATGAAGTAGATAGGATAAAACCAAAGGTAACATTAGGAAAGACATAGGGAGAAAATGATAGTATGATAAAACAAAGTATAACATACAAAAAGTTGATAAAAGGAAAAACAAAGAATAACATAAGGGAAGACAGAAAGAGAAGATGATAAAAGAAGATGATAGAAGGAAATACAAAGTTCCTGTTGGTATGACTCTCAGTAGAGAATAAAGTGTGATGAGTGTGAAGACAAACAAACCTTACCAGGAACATGAGTGAGAATGGGGTCCTTCATGGCCATCCATCAACATAAATCTAGTTTCAAAATTCAACGCTTCTGAACCATGACCAAGTCTCACCACATAAGAATCCAAATCCAAATCGTACTAAGATTGTATTTTTGTTTTGTTTTGTTTTCTGTTCCATTCTTGTAATACCCATAGTCCCAATCATTATTGTGTGCTTCTAATGTTTCATTTTATGCCACATTTTAGGCACTATGCTCTATATGTCACCCATCATAAGAAGAATCAGTGTTAAAGGTACTACCATTGCAACATGGTTGTCAAAATACTTGAATTTTTCATTAATCTGAACAAGAATGTACGTTGAAGAAAAAAACAATCCCAAAAAGTTTTTAAGAGAAATAATAAACTTTTAACACAGGAAAATAAATGTTCACTTTAAATCAGATTAAAAATTATATTTTTCAGTGTGGTACTGAATAACCCTATAAAGTACAAAGACATCATTATTACTAGAGGAGCTACAGTATATGAACAAAATCCTGTAACATGATCGCCATCCATATCATCTTAATTCCCATAATTTGTAAAACCTGATTTGTCAAAAACATGTTCACAAGATCAATAGTAAGTTTAATGCAATGAATGTAAACACAGTCTAGAGAAATATAGTTAAAATGATGGTTCTTGCACATGGTTATAAAGTTCTAGACAGAGTCATAAATATTCAATGTACTTTGGACTCTAAGTTTCAAGTGCCAAGTTTATGATGAATCACATTCTCAAGCCATTAAAAAAGATCAATTCAAAAGAGGATTCAAGGAAAAATTTGATTTTTACTGGTACAAATATCAATCAATATATTATCCTGACACAGCCTAACCACTTTCACACTTTCAGAATTTAAGTGCCGTATTTACGAGGAAATACAATTCAGATAAAGATTACATTTTAGTAGGATTCACAGAAATAAAGTTTTTCTCCTGGTACATACTGTGTGCGTAGTCTAATATTCACGTCCAGCCTTGGAAATGACTTAGCTGCATGCATGGTCAATGCTACTTGTAAGTGTTGGAAAGAAATAACCATGAATATATAATTTGATCTAAGAAAAAATATTTTGGATATTGGTTGAACCCTTACCACAAAATGCCCTCCACTCTTCCTTAATTTTGAAGAAAAATATATCTTAAAACCCTACAGCCTACCTCTCAATTAGATTAAACTTTGCTATCTCCCTGCATTCCTGGGTTAATTTAATGAGAACCAGACTGATATTAATCAGAAATTAATTACTACTCTGCAATCTGGCAATTTTTCTTTCCTTTAGTCCCATCCATTTGATATTGATTCCGCATGACCGTCCCATTTAGGATTGATTTTTTTTCTTGCGGGGAAACCGTGATGTTTGAACTTGGATTCTACTTAGCAGAGAAAATATTTGTTTAGGTAACATCTTGCAGATTGTTGCTGAGTGCATGGTTTAGAGTTTCTTAACTCTTTATATGACACACAAATAATCTCCCTGTGCCATATTGTATTTATCATGTACAGGGCCATTCCATGGTAACTCGCGTTACACTTAATGGGTACATTGATACGATAATGTGCCTATATCTTTAGAACTGCTAGGATCTACAAGATACTTTTTTCAAACATGGACATGGTAGATATAGAACAACTGAATGAAACAAAAAAGAAAATTGAAGAACAAACATTTTTAGATTCTTGGATTATTGAATTTCGGTAACTCGCGTTACAAAAAAAGGACATGGTCAATTCTACGAGACCCTCTTTTCTCCTCATACTAGACAATCTTGACAAAATCTTTCCTATTTTAATTTGATAGTAGGTTGTGACTTACTAGTATAAGATCACAATATTAAAGATAAGAAACAATGGACTAGTAAAATGCAGGAAGCAAATATGTCGGTAACTCACGTTACGGTAACTCGCGTTACATTTTGTCCGGAGGCCATTTTCACCCCTATGTAATAGATTAAATATCACAGGACCCCTTAGAATATGGAAATATATTCATCTTTTTCCATTTGGCGAAATTTTCAGGAAAAATTATTACAAGAATCCTGTGTAATCTGCAATAAATTGGGTTTTTTTCAGCTACAGTCCCACATGTACGTTTTTGATGATAGTTTGAGATCTTAGGAAATCAACAAAAATGAAAAAAAAATTGTATTGAATTTGAAAGGCCCTAATGTTTTATGAACATCCATGGCATAAGGTTAGTGATAAATCAAAGAATTAACATAAGAGGTACATTTCTTTTTTTGATGTCATGTCCTTCTTCTCATGGAATGGCCCTACATGTATATACCAAAATCTTGAGGGTTACTTGACTGTTTTCATTCCAAGATTAATCTGCAGCAGTGTTACAAGGGTTGTCAAGGAACTAATCAAGACCTGGGGCCCATTTCACAAAGCCTTTTTTCAATGACAAATGACAAAAATCAGTGACAAATCTGCTGATAACCAATCAGAAGCAAGGATTTCAGTAGCTTATAACAAAGACTGTCATTTGTCAACGATGACAAGTTTTGTGAAACACCCCCCTGATATTTCCAAGACTTGGGCTTCATGCGCACCCTATCATAATATTTGAACATGTACATGTACATTGACTCTAGTCTACTGAACAAGTTGTTTTTATATATTTTTTAATGAGAGTATAAAAATGCAAAGCCTCTTTGTAGCTGTATTTAAAGCTCATATTTTCAATACAGTAAGGCTACATGTACTCCCTTACATCACAACCACAGCATGTTTTTAAACAATATTGATAAAACTCAACCCCTATGACCCTAAGTCTAAGGTTACATATTATATCTCCTTACATTCCTTTACCATTCTATTGTTTATAATACCAACAATCTTTGTGTACCCATTCATAACACCTGTCTGCAAATTCCACCTGTTTCTTTTTGACTGCTATCATGTTTCATAAACACTATCCCTCCCTCACACCCTGTATGAAATGCCTCTTAAAGGCCAAGTCCACTCCAAAAATAACTTACTTTCAATAGAAGCAGAATTATCAGACAAACCAATCAAAAAAAGTTGGAGCAAAATCGGATGACTAATAAGAAAGTTATGAATTTTTAATGACATGGAAAACTCTGAAAATCACAAGATAAGTTGGCAACTCATGCATGAGTCTGTAACGTCATTGCCTCACTATCCACTATTGTTTTCTTTATATTGATAATATAAATTTCCAATTTTTCCCCTAAACATCTTATTTCCTCACACCAGCATCCAAGTTATATTGATAGTAATATGTTTTTGTGTGGATGCACTAATAAAGAGTAATTTATTCAGTTAAATCATGAAAAACATGAATTTTGATAAACTATTTATATAAAAATCAATAAATATGAATGTAAAATATTCAGAAAAAAGTATCAATTATTCAAAGTTCATAAAAGATTTTGTGAAATATCATGCACGCAATATGATACAAATCAAAGGCATGGGGAAATCAAGTTTTGGGGGATAAAAAGGGAAATTAATGGAATAAAAATACATAAAGCAATTGATAAATGGTGAGGCAATCACGTCACAAACTGACAACCAAATTGGCAATTTGCGTAGTGATTTTTGAAGCTCCATAGTCTTTATACTTTGTTTTTAAATTCATAACTTCCTTATTACAAGCATTTATGCTTTCTTAGCAGTCAGGTAAAATAACAACCACCACCAACCACCACCACCATTAGTTATCCGATTTTACTTTTTATTTTTGCTCTGCTTCTCTTGCTTTTCTACATCTATTAAAACCAAATTATTCTTGGAGTGGACTTAGCCTTTAAGCTCATATATAAGAATTTTGGATCATATCATCACTCTCATGGCTTTTTAACACTAGCAAGCTTAGTGACTCCAACCATTGACCCTAATCCGAACCCCTAATCCCTAACATAACCTAAAACCTTATTGCAGCAAAAGCAACAAAGTCCACAGCAAATGTTGATGAAGCAACATTGGATCGCTTCTTCGATGTACCAAAGAAAGCCTTTTTGTATTGAAAGCAACTTCATTTTCAAAGAATTTGGATCTCATATTTCTAACTTGAGTTGTTTTTTTGCGTTTGAACACAACTTTTTGAGCAAGAGGTTCCAGATAAATTCCACTTCCGATGATAAGAAAGTGTAGGTATAACTAGGTTAGCAACAAGGGGACCTACAGACTTTAGTCCTATCCCAGGGTCTGAAATTTATATATAATTTTGTTCACTCTTTGTAATGGGTGTATCAACTTGTCAAGCCACATAGGCTTTTACTGATACACCCTATTTCATTTTCCAACTATTTGTATTTAAATGTTATTACTTTGTTTCAAATATTTAAGTTGATTTTTATATGTACATTGTAAATGTTTATCACCTGTTTTTTTGTTTTTTTCTAACTGAATTTGAAAAAAAATGTATCAATCAATCAATGTTTGAGAAAAGTTGCCTTTACAACCAAGTGCATCTTCAAAACCATATTGGCTCGGAATCCGGGACCCTCCACATCCAAATTCACCGCACTAACAACTGGGCCATTGCCCTTTAAATGTGCTGCTGATTGATTTACCAGTCCTCCTATTATACATGTTGACCATTAACAAATATATATATATATATATATATATATATATATATATATAGTATCAATGGTGCTCCCAATAGGTGCAAAAATCGATGAAACCAAACGGGTGTATTCGTTCGTTCGTGTCTCCTTAGATCAAGATTAATGTATCTTGATCTTTGAATCTAGTAGGTTTGTATTGATTTGTTTACATTCATCTCATACTCACGTATCTGTTTTGTTCTTTCCCATGGCGTAGAATTCCCTTCGTAGCCACCTGGATGTAAAAAGAGTCAAGAACAAACAAAATGATATGTTGAGTACATAAACGGGATATTGTATTTGGGGCAGACCCAGGATACAGAAAAGGGGGTACGGAAGGGGCAGAGGCACAAATCAGAAAAAAATCTCTGATAAGCAACAATTAAAAAAAAAGAAAAATGGTTAATCACAGGTCCCTTTTGGTTCCAAAGTTTGAAAGAAGGCACAAAGACACAATGGGGACATTTGCTTTGGGTTTTTTTACATGTAGATGTATACCACTTGGATTTTGAAAGGAAGAAGGGGTCAGGGTGAGGCCCTCCGTCCCCCCCCCCCCCCCAATCCCACAATCCATTAGTGGTTCATTGTCCCTCTAGGTCTGTCTTCATCAGACCGAAGTTGCAAAATAACTCGCTATTTTAAAGATGAAGTTGAGTTCTGGTCATGCGATTGCATTGTGAAAGAAACGGTGTGGAACCGACCAGAAAAGGTTGATCATCTAGCATATAAGAATTTGTGTGTATTGCAAGGTTCTGGAATCATCAAAATGATAAGAAATGTGGCCAAGTCTTGGTAAAGTTACAAACACTTGCACAGAAAGATGTATATGGGACTACACGAACACGTGGCGTAAAAAGCCGGCCCCCGATTTTTACGATGTTACATGCATATTTAGAATATGAAGGCATTTGAAGAGCCATGCTTTTCAGGGAACATGTCTTAACTGATGTTCTTCCACACTTGCATAATAAGAATGAGTAATGCTCACAAATTATTTTTCACCTCTTCCCAGAACTCAACCTACTCTTTAACAAGCCGATCTCGAATTAGCCAGCTAATTTGTGTATTCATCAGCCCGCAGTTGCAATTAGCAGGATATTTGGTCGAGAAAATATTTCAAGAAATCTTGGTCGTTTCCAAAATATCCCGCTATTTGGGAAATAGTGGGCTAATTTGCGCTAGTTTGTGATGAGCATATCAGGCTGATGAAGGCGCAATTTGGAGCTTCGAGATAATGTTCAGAGTCTGAAAAAGCGGGTTACTTGACAATCTCGAGCTGATGAAGACAGGCCTATAGTGTCTGAGTTTTTCTGTTTGTAAGGATAGTCTGTACACACAAAGGAGAGACGTTCTTATCTTACAATCAATACATCACACCTCCATTAAAAAAGTGCCTAAGGCCTTTAAAAAGAATTCAAGCCTGTTCTCTCTAATTGGAGTTTGAATGCAGTGTATTTACCATCATGACACTACAAAATCTTGCTGAATAGCAGACACATCGAAAAGTAAATGTACAAAGAATTGCACTGACAATATGGGGCACATAATCAAAACTTATGCTTGATAAATTCAATACTTCATAAGTTCGGATCATAAACATCAAACACTTGAAAGGCAATCTCCATAAAAGCCTGTCTCATCATTCTTCAACTTGTATACTTTTGGTCTTCCTAACCTTGAAGCTTCTCTTCTACATTTACCATTTTCATCCCTCACAGCAAGAAGGATATTATACCATTTAAGACATAATGAGTGATCTACTTCCTCTAAACAGAAGACATGTTCCTTGTCTGTCTGTACACGTTTGTCTTTACCTCTTGACTTGTAATGGATAGCTGGCTTTCTCTGTGTCTTCTGCAAGCCATTTGAGTCCTGTTATCCACAGGTGATACTCATCAGCATTCACAGCTAAACACATGCAAAGAAGATGAAGAAAAAAAAGGAATTTCAGGAATAAAAGACATTTCAGGAAAAAAAGACATTTCAATTTAGCTCAGCATTCACATGAGTGGTCAAATAACTGAATTAATAAGAATTAAGTTTGTTGTCCTGTTACATATCAAGATTATCAGTACATTTTGAACAACAAAAAATGCAATTAATGATGGTCATCATCATGTTCCTGGCAAGGATAACAGTAGTAATGATAATAATAATTTAAACAAATATTATATTTGTGTCTCTTTAAAGTCACTTGAGTTCTTTTATCCAACTGTAATACTCATCAGCCTCACAGCTAAAATTCAAAGAAGATGAAAGAAAGTCAAATAAGTGATTATATAGATGATGATGATGATGATGATGATGATGATGATGATGATGATGATGATGATGATGATGATGATGATGATGATGATGATGATGATGATGATGATGATGATGATGATGATGATGATGATGATGATGATGATGATGATGATGATGATGATGTTGATGATGATGATGATGATGATGATGATGATGATGTTGATGATGATTTTTCCCCAACATAGGGAATTAATTTTTTCTCAAAAATGGCACGAAATATGTTACTGAGCAACAAACTTGCTACTGATATGTTATTACAATGATGTCAATGATGTTGATGATGATGGTGATAATGGTGGTGGTAGTGGTGGTGGTGGTGGTGGTGGTGGTGGTGGTGGTGGTGGTGGTGGTGGTGGTGATGGTGATGATGATGATGATGGTGATAAAGATGATTATAATAACTGGATCACGGAAAGAAGGAATGCTCAGTCGAGTTTGTCCTGTTAAATCGGATAGTCCTCGATAAATCGAGTGTTTATTCAATCTGTATGAAAAATAAAAGATGAAGAAATCCTTAGCATCATTGCCTTGCGATTGCTAATCACCAATACATCGTTCTGTTAAACCATTAAATATTGACTTTGTGAAACAGGTATATCCTTAGTTTGCCACTTTGCATCAAAATCCTCTTTTTGTATTTACCAATTGTAAACATACCTAGCCCTCATGTAAATGTACTTCTTATAATTCACTTTAAATGTTAAATGAATATTTGCAATAAAGATTGAATATCCATTCTAATCTCAACTTGAGTAATGCCTGTTTATTAATTTGTTCCAAAAAAACCTGTCCTTATATATTTCGACTACAATCAAAGAAATACAATCATGACCTCTTCAGTCCAAATATTCTCACACTGTAACATCTATCAATGTAAAATTGATACAAAACCAACATCTGTTTCATTTACCCACTTTCTAAATTGAAGTGTTTCTTACAACAAAAACCAGAATAAAAACTTCTCAAATCTTACTGTTAATGCCACCAAATAAATCTATTATTTGATGCATTATTTATACAAGCACATCAACACACATATTTAGACAAATATGGTATTAACCTAACTGACCGAAAATACTCTCGCCAAACCTGGCCATACAAGTTGCGTACATTCCACGCTCGTTAGTTACATTTCATTTAACTCTACATTTCTACATTATATATTTGCTTAATTGCCTCTGAACCAATTGATAATTAATACGTACATCTTTGGCAGGATCTACTCGAAACCGTGGAACACAAATTACCCCTCGCGGAGACATTTGTGACAAAACTGTTACATCAAAAATGGTGGACAAACACGTCCGTTCTCTGACTTGATGATGTGGCTCTGAACTTAGCCGTGACTTACTTTTGCCACGTACCGGTCCCAGATATTCTAAGGTGTCCTTAAAGAAACACATGTGATCTTCTCAAAGGAAAATAAGAAAACTTCTTAACATGAAAAATCGTCTAAATTCTTACTAGACAAATCACAAATGAAAAAGTGACATTTTCACTGAAACATTCACCCCCCCAATGGGGCAATAACCCCATTACATAAAATGCCTAATTATCCGCTTCTCTATTTCGTTCAAATGTCTAGTCTTTAGAAATCATACCCTTCAGCTGGATATATTATCGCTATTTTTGTAACTGGCCTGCGATACTCTCCTGAGACAGTTTTAACTTTGACATTCCTAACTGTACCATCTACCCCAGGATACACTTGAACTACCCTCGCTATAGTCCACTTCCCTCGCACTGCATTTGCGTCTGCCAACATCGCGATGTCTCCAACACGGACGTTTCTACGCTCAGTGTTCCATTTTCTTCGTGGTACAAGTAATGGAAACACGTCTCTGTTCCAACTCTTCCAAAACGAGTTCACAATTTGCTGCACAAACTCTACTCTATGTCTGGGATTCCTGGTCTCACGGAATGGACCGTGAGGCACCTTGCTCGAAGATCTCCCCAACAACAAATCATTCGGACAGAGGTAACCTCCATCATCTGGATCATTACCAACGCGTCCTATTGGTCGTTCATTCACAAGATTCGCGACCTCTAAGAAACATGTATACAACTCTAATGGTGTGAGCACTTGCTCACCTATTGCCCTTTTCAAAGCAAACTTGCAACTTTTCACCATGGCTTCCGCACAACCATTCTGATGAGGCGCTCCTGGAGTAACAAACTTCCACACTACACGTTTCTCGGCACAAAAATCTTTGAGCTCTCTCTCGCTCCATCCTCTAACCATCTCGCGAAGCTCGCGTTCCGCTCCAACAAACTGCGTCCCGTTGTCGCTCAGAAACTGTGCAGGCTGCCCTCTCACTGCAATGAATCTACGTAATGCTTGGAGAAACTCCATCGTTGAACAGTCTGTTGCCATCTCCAGATGTACGGCTCTGGTATTCAAACATGTGAAGATGATGCCGTAATGCTTGGCCTTCTTGTTTCGACCCACCTTGACTAAATATGGGCCAAAGTAGTCGCATGACGTATAATGGAAAGGCGGGGTGAATGGTGCCAATCGACAGCTAGGCAGATTCGCCATAATCTGCGTTTCCCTTCTACACTCTGCAGCTCTGCACGTCACGCATCGATGTTTCACCGTCTTAGCTAGTCGGTAACCTTGGAGTATCCAAAACTTTCTCCGTGTCTTGGCCGTAGTCGCTGCTACACCATGATGTCCCAGTTCATGTGCGCTACGTATTATCATCAGTGATATGTGATGGCTGGCAGGAAGTAGAGCTGGATGCTTCGACTCGTATGACGTCACAAGGTTTTCCACTCTACCACCTACTCTGATCACACCATCATCGTCAACAAAAGGAGTGAGCACCTTGAATTCTCCTTTCTCTAGTCTGGGCAGTAGACTGATCTGTGCTCTCTTTACCCAGTACTTCTCTGCACTATCTAACTCTGTTGGGCTTAGAGTAACTTTGTCATCTGGTTTGGGTCCCTTCTGTATCTTGGCCTTCAGGATTTGGATAAATCTGAATACATATGCGGTCGTTCTCAGGAGCTTTCTCCAACTCAAAGTTCTCTTACAATTTATCACTTCTGCTGTCTCTGTTGTTATGAAGACTGACTGGGACTTTGTCTTTTCCTCACTTATGTCACCTTTGCAATTCACTGCTGCCTTGTCTGTAGGCCAGTCTGACTCGTCAGAGAGCAGAAAAATGGGCCCATCCTTCCACTCTTCTGACAGCCTCTCTACAGCTATACCTCGTGACACCTTATCAGCTATATTGACTTCACCAGGGATGTGTTTCCAGTCTGCTGGGTTTGTTAGTGTCTGGATTTCACCTACTCTGCTTGATACAAATGCCTTGTATGTTCTGGCAGATGACTTTATCCACTGGAGCACAATCATACTATCAGTGAAGAAAACAACCTTTTCCACCTGTAGCCTCATCTCATTGCTGATTGCTTCGTGCATTCTAGCTGCTAGTACCCCTGCCAGCAGTTCAAGTCGAGGAATAGTGAGCGCTTTGAGAGGTGCGACCTTCGACTTGGCTGATACGAAGCGCACTTCATACTTGTCATCATCTGTCTTCCACCTCAGATAAGCGCATGCACCATATGCAATCTCAGAAGCGTCACAGAAAATACATAAGACTGGTCTCCCCTGGGCATTCTGTGGTTTCAGACATCTCTCAAGACTGATGTCATTGAGCTTACTCATTTCTCTGAATAATCCTCTCCATTCATCTCCGTCAGGTAACTCCTCATCCCAGTCATAACCACTCTGCCACAGCTTCTGTAAGCCAGCCTTTGCCTTGATGATAATTGGCGCCGCAAAACCAATAGGATCATAGATTCTTGCTACTTTTCCCAAGATCTTTCTCTTAGTCAGCTTTTCTGTCTCTTTATCCGTTTCTTGTAGCTTGACCTTGTATGAGAAGGTATCATTATGTCTCTCCCATACTACACCAAGCACCTTCTCTTCAGCAATCTCCTCTAAGAGTTTCATCTTTTCCTGCTTGTTGCCTCCATCAAGTGGCTTGTTTGATTGCCAACCTTTAACCTTGAAACCTCCTGCCTCCAACAGTTCATCTACCTCTGCGATACGTTTCTTTGCTGTATCTTCGGTCTCTACTGAATCGCAGATGTCATCCATGTAGATGTTTCTTTTCAGGATTGCAGCTGCTTCTGGGTACTTGGCTTCACCTTCTTCAGCCGTCAGTCTTACACCTATCTGCGCCATTGCTGCCGCTGGTTTGTCTCCAAACGTCACCACCTTCATCATATACACATCTGGTTCTTTCTCCTGGTTCATGTCTCTCCACAGAAATCTGTGTACATGCTGATCTCTTTCGGGAATCAATATACGGTGATACATCTTGCTAATATCTGCACATATTGCCACTGGGTGTTCTCTGAACCTGAGGAGGACTCCAAATAGGTTGTTCAGTAAGTCAGGCCCTTTCTTCCAGTACTCATTCAAGCAGTGACCTTTGTAGATTGCAGATGAATTGAATACAATTCTCAGAGGTGTGCTTTTGTTGTCTGGCCTGATTACTGCGTGGTGACTGATGTAATGTACCGGTCCTTTGTACGTTGTCATTTCATCTTTCTCTAGCTTCTTAGCAAATCCCATCTCAGTCATCTCT